AAAAATATCAAGAAACCGTTCGACAGAAAAAGTCAAAAATTAATTTCAAAATTTAACTAAACAAATAAGCGACGAGCAAGCAGGAAAAAAAATTAAATAAAACCATTCAAATACGTAAATATAATACACGTTAATATTAAAGACACTGTGTTATGCAATATTGATTTAAACTATATATAAAATTAATATTATTAATTCAAAGGAACAATATGAGAAACATGTTTAATACATGCCATGTATTTACATTTAAGTGTTGATTTATTTCCTTTAATTGATTTAGAATGTATACGGTAATAAATGTTACTCTTAACATTTTTTAAGATAGTCATACACTTGTTTTTCAAATACGTTTCACATTTTAATAAGTAGGCATTATTAAGAGTCAAGCTTAGAATTTTCTTTGTTATTTCATCAAGCATTTCACTGCAATAAACTCATAGAAAATAACAGTACCTTTTTGACATTTAACTGGAAATCTTGAACTGTTGCTTCCCATCTTAAATACGGGTCTATATTCTTTCAATGTGTTGAAAATCCTGTTCAAATGAAAGGTATTCTTTCTAATGTTTTCCGAACTTCTCAGTGACATTCTGCACGAACTTTAAATTTTCTTTTAGCTTTCTTGACCTCTGGTCGAACGTTCCGATCCTTGCTCTGTTATCTGAGTATCTAATCCATCTCCTTTACTCGTAGCATAACTCTTTTGACACCTATCACTATCGCTATCGTAAGTTCAGATTTACATTTACAAGCATTTTTTTTTTTTTTTGGATAAATGTTGATTCATCAGTTTAGTTTCGATGGCTATATTATTGTTCTCTAATCCCGTTCTATTGAAAACTTTGAAAAAGATACTTGCATTGCATTTTAATTTTTTTGAAAACTAGAAAACTAACTGCTGATTTAAAACCGCAATTTTTGAGCAAAATATGTATTCTACGCAGCAGGCGTTATATTCTCATTAAGGAAGTTAGATTTTTGACGCTGATAAGCGAAAATACATAAATAAAATATTCTTCTTGATAGAATTCTTAAAGAATTCAATTTCAAGATATGAAATGCAAATCCAGCTTTTCTAGCAAGGTTGCTTTCTATTTGTCATGTCACCCGGCTAAGCAAAAAATGGCTCAATTTTATTATTATATATTTCGCGCTCTTAAAATTTGCTCCTCAGAATCTTCGTTTGCTAACGAATTCAACTTTTTCAGATCAATTGCCACTGACCGAAGAAATAACGTTAACAATGTTGTCGTGCTCACATTACTTACGTTTCTATCAGTTACAAAATTGCAAGGATTTTCCAGTAGTTAGTTTTCAATTTCTCGCTATGAATAAAATGCATGGTTCGATTCTTAAGGATTCCATTTCTGTGTCTTTAATTCTTCGGTAATTTACAGCAAATCTTGTCGTTATGGTTTGCGATATATCGGCCAGACTAAAGGAGCGTCGTCAAAACCAAAAGCCAAACAACTAAAACACGAATCTTATGTCCGAAAAGGCGAAATTAACAAGTCTCTGAATTAACAGTGGATTTTAAAGGACGGCTGCTTGCTTTGTCTTAATGCAGTTCTACTGAATGTTGGTATTATGGGTAAACGGAAGGTGTTTCATATTTGAAAACTGCGTGTAAAATAGGTTTCTGATAATATGTGGAATTGATCTTAAGCTTTTACCCACTCTCTTTTTAATTTACCGTCGTGTGAAATACCAGCAAAAATCATAAAATCCCTTTGAAAAATTTCTTTAGATTCCTTGTACCCTGTTGTAAGATTTTTTTTGTTTCTCTTTGATGATAACAAATGTATCATTATTTAGACATACATTTTATTAAAAATCAGATGGAGATACATAGCAAATCTCCATCTAGCTCAGTCATTTAAATACATTCAAGATTCATCTAATGTGACAACATTTTTCCATTTTTGCCCAGATTAATGTTTCTCATACAAAACTCTGCAGTGCGTTCGGCAATATGTCGTGTTGAAAGACGATGCACATAATGCTTCTTCATCTGTTTAATATTTAAATCAGCATACTTTGTTTACAATTGGCAATGAATATTTAAATAATTTTTGAGCTGTGTTTTGACTTGGCGGATTTTCCTTTAAATTTCCTTAATTTTAAGCATCTTTCCTCTGCAGCACAAACGTTTTTAACTTGGATATCCCGCTTTTAACTTGGATATATATTTATAATAATTTTTTTCCACTGGATTCCAAATTTTGACGTTTTCCTCTATCTGGTTGAAAATTGAGCTATCGTTTAGAGCTCTTACGAATTCGGCTACTAGTGAGGACAAGGGCGCATGAGAGAAATATCTTTAATTCCTTACAAAATACAGTGTAAACAAATTTTAAGAAACAAAAAAAAAAAAAAAAAAAAAAAAAAAAAAAAAAATCCAAATAAAAAAAAAAATCTGAAATTTTTCAGATTTTAAATTACGTCCAAAGGGGCGTTTTTTGTGTTACCTTTATTTATTAAATATCATGTTCTTTGCACTTAAACCATAAAATTCAGTTCAAGAGCAATATCGCAAAATAATGTTAAATTAAGCATATCTTTAGAATTTCCGATATACACAGTCTCGCGAGCTGGAGATAAAAGTATTTTTTTTCTATATAACGATGCCATTTCTCGCTTTTAAAGCATTGAGTTTGTAAATCAAAAATTCGTTAAAGTTTTACAAATATAAAATCTATAATAAAACAAATTCCAAATTTGGGATTTCAGATGCCCATATTCGCAGTAGGATTTCGTCATTCAAAATTCGATGGCTCTATGTACCATTGTTTTATCACAATGCGAGAAATAGACAATCATTTATGCAGATTTTTCATTATTTGATTTCTTCAAATAGAATGCAGGACTCTAACATTTTGTGGCAACAGTTTAAAAAGTGAACCGACGTTTATGAATCCGACGCAAAATGCCAAAACGAAAGCAATAGACCTTCGGGACTGAAATCCCTTTTGGACTAATAAATCACTTCGCTTTTCTGACAGTTATCTGAAAGTTTCAGATTTTAAACTACGTCCAAAGGGGCGTTTTTTTAGCATTTTGTGCGTTACATTTATTTATTAAATATCATGTTCTTACCACTTAAACCATTAAATTCAGTTCAACAGCAATATCGCAAAATAGTTTTAAAATAAGCATACCTTTAGAATTTCCGATGCAGAGACACACGCGCTGGAGCTAAAAATGTTTTCCTGTACAACGTTGCCATGGCTCGCTTTGAAATCCTTGAGTTTGTTAATATGAAATCGATAATAAAACAAATTCAAAATTTCAAAGTTGGTCAAATCTTCAAATGTGTGTTCAAATGTTCAAAATTTCAAATGTGTGTACGTTTCTGGCATTGTGAAAACATGATGTTACGTAGGGCTATCAATACATGCCCATATCCGTAAGAGGATTACGTCATTCAAAATTCGATGGTTCTAGGTACCGTTGTTTTATCACAATGCGAGAAATATATATACATTAATGCAGATTTTTCATCATTTATTTTCTTGAAATATAATGCAGGACTCTAACATTGGGTGGCAACAGTTTGAAAAAAGAAACGAACATTTATAGTGATTCAACGCAAAATGGCAAAACGAAAGCAATAGTCCTGCAGGGATAAAGACCCTTTGGACTAAATTGTCAGACTTTCTTAAATAAATAACAGTTAGGAACTTCATTCAAAATCGGGATGCAATTAGTCCATACTTCTATTTTCTTGATAGTCTAAAATGGCGTTAGTTCGAACAGGCTATCAATCTCGAAACGGCGGTATATCACTTTAAATGTCTGAATCACTTTTTAGATTGTTGCCACGAAGTATTATCGCCCCATGTTACTTTTAAATAAATTAAACAGTCAAGAATCTGCAGAAAAGTGTGTACATTTCTGGTATTGTGAAAACATGATGTTACGTAGGGCCATCAAATTTTGATTAACGTAATCCTCCACCTGAGCGTGGGCACCTAGAAGCCCGAAATTTGAATTTCGAATTTTGTATTCCATATTTTATAAAATTTTATACTGGATTTTTATCATACTGTACCGTATTTTTATCATATTATAATCTCTCTATAGTTATATGTTTGACTTCTCATATATCACTTGTTAGAAGTCTTATACAATAACATATATGACTTCGTATTTACATTGTATTATGTTTAAATATATCGTAACTTGTTATTTACACAAATGCAACAATTTTACTGCCAAGGTATACCACAATTGTTTGTAATCAATCATTCATTTTCAATTATGTACTCACGTATTTGAATTAGTGTTGTCTTAAGGGTTCTCTAGATCATGGTGCTATACTAATTAACCGTATGATAAAGGCATAGTGTCCACGTCCCCTGTTCCTTATCCTTATCCTTTTATAAAACTTTAACTAATTTTTAGCAAACTCAACGTTCTAAAAGCGAGCAGTGGCAACAATGTACAGATTAAAACAATGTTATCTGAAGCGCGCGAGACTGTCTATCGGAGATTTTAAAGATATGTTGTTTTAAAATATTTTATGATTTTTCTATTCAACTGAATCTTGTGTGGCATAAATGCGAAGTGCATGGTATTTTATTAATAAATTTAACGCACAAAACGTTAATAATAGAAAGACAAGAAAAAGTTTGCAAGCCATCTTGCTAAGACATTGATATGATAAACCGAGAAAAGACTGAAAAAAAAATTGAAAATGCATGCTAACTTTTAACATTTCATCGGGAATTTAAACGTAGGCTGCTTTTAAAAATTTTATAATTTTGCTGTTGAATTGTATATAGCGTAAGTGCGAAGAGAATGACACGTAATAATAAAGTTAAAAAGGCAAAAAGAAATGGTTCAACAAGGAGTGAGATAAAAGCAGGTCGGTAGACTGCGAACTCAGCGAGAGCATAGAAAACCTTAGCAAATCTTTTTGGGTGACAGTTAAAATCTGAGCCTCTCGTTTTATCTTATTTATTTATAAACTTTTAATCTTATTTAATTCCTTTTATTTCAGATGTATAGTTCAAAAATAAGTTTGAAATCAAATATGAATAAAAACGAAAGAAAAATGAGTAATATTCAACACGAAGCCTTAGAACAGGTTAGTAGTTATTTTAATATATTTTGTATAGTTCTTAAAATTAAATATGTATGTGTGTGTGTGTACTGGTATGAAGTACGTATTTTAAATACATATATTTTAATATTCAAAGAATATAATATAACCTATAAATGCAATTTAGACTGTTGAAAGCAGAAAAGGTTAAACACAGTAAATCAAGATTATAAATTATTTTGTTTTTAATGTTTTTAGAAAGTTTGAATAACTTGAATATTTGAATGGTAAAATTTTGAATTAAATGTTTCAGTACCGTATGAAATTAAAAGCATCTTTTATTTAATATTTTAAAGTATTATAAGAAATTGATAATTCATTAATGATTAATAAACTGTCTAAATTTTAAGAAAGTAATAATCCATTAATTTGTCCCTTCTGTTTATAATTTAGATAGCTGTGTGGAAGTAGTAGACATTCATTTTAACTAAAAACTTGAAGTACTTCTTTCCAGTTTAAAGAACTGTGAACTATAAATTGTCCTGTCCTATAAAAGCAAGAGTGTGTTGATGCATAATGATAATCACTAACTTTTTGTTTTGTTTTTCATTTTAGTTTAAGAGACAGTTATATGATATCCTTACACCATATGACACAGATGTACAGTTAATGAAATGGCTTCGAGGTAATTAATTTTTAATATTATGAACTTATTATTAAAATTCAAGGAATAGCATTTTGAAATCGAAAAGGATAAATGTTTGAAATTATTCACTTTCATTAATTACTTTGCAAGATTACTATTATTCTTTGATTGACCAGTTATTATGATTTAGAACTTTACTATCACTTCTTCTTTCTGTTTCCTACTGCAGTACAAATCAATTTAGACAGTAGTCGAGGGTTTGGGATTGTAAGACATGGCGTGTTTTTTCCTCTCGAGACCACATTACTGGGTTTCGTTAATTTTGATAAGATTGTAATTATTCGGCTTTGTGTTATTGCTGCCGATATATTACGGTTACGCTGGTAAGAAGTTTTGAGCCAACATCGCTTTAGATCAAATGTCTAGACCTTGAGTACTAGACTTAATCTTAAATTAGAATTTAACTGTTACTTTAAGTTACATTGCCACAAGCGATTGTTGTTTTGCTAAGCAGGAGTCGTGCGTTTATGTTTAAGTTCTGATTTGAAGAAAAGGTATGTTTCAAACCTTTGCAAGATTCTGTAGTTCTTTTCAGATAATTCGTTCCAACTGTGTTAGGAGTTTTATGCCACCAAAAAAATCCAAACTCTTAAAATTGACATTAAATTTTCTGACAAGTTATTGTATGTTAACCTTCCAGCACGCGCGCTTAGCAATTTTACATAAGCACACGTGCGTCGTAGTTTTCACGACATCTGTAATTTTACCATTTGGGGCACGAAAAATGACAGAAATGAGTGAATGTTGATAATAAATTTGTTAAAACATAAAATATTAACTATATTATTGAAAAATACAAATGATATCACATTAAAATGATAGTAAATTATTTTTTAAACGCTTATATTAGTCAGGTGGAAAACCAATGATGTATTTTATTATAGAAATTTAAAAATTTATTATTTAATAAGTATATTTTAAAAGCTAAGCTAGTTTTAATATTCCTCTGTTCTGTCCTGTTGATTTACCATCGAATCGAAGATAACTTTTAGAAATAAAAATCTCTTTCAACTCATCACATTTCTTGTTATTTCAATTTCAATGCTGTCACTTGAGAAAAAGTCTTTTGCAGTTATATGGTGTCCTTTTTTTTATTCCTATCATATATTAACAATCCAAAGTAGGCCATCATTTTCACTCAGGTAGCAGTGGAGTCTCCATCTCTTGAGTATTTTGCCTTGCAATGAACTTATATATTTATTTGTACATTCCAAAATTTCATCAAGCCTATTTATATAAACTATTTTCAAAAATGTTCTCGTTTCATCCTATATATCCTTGGCATGGTGTTTTAGGCCAGGTAACGCTCACGATATTCATCTTATTCGTCTTTGAGCGGTTTGCATACTTCTGTTTCCGCCACTTAGAAGATTTATCCTTACTAACATAGAATATTAATCATCATACTTTTTATATCATATCACCATTTTTTTCTATATATTATTACAGCACCATTCTTTTTATATAATTATTACTATCGTTATTCCTTTTTCTCTATCATATCTATCATTTTTTATCATATCATCATCCTTTTTCTCTATCATTATTACCTTTCCTTGTTTCTGTATCATTATTACTATCATCATTCTTATTTTCTCTATCATTATTACTATCATCATTCCTTTTTTCTCTATCATTATTACTATCATCATTCCTTTTTTCTATATCATTATTACTATCATCATTCGATATTTATTGTTCAGATTCAGTGCTGATATTATTTATCTCTATAGCTTCTTCACTCAGAATGCGATTATTCTCACATCCAAAGGCCCTTTTTTGTCTTCTTTTCATTCATCAGATAATTCTTGAAGAATGCGAGCAAAATCAGCCAGTAACACATAATTTTTTGCCATGAAAACCGATATAAAAATTATAGAGTCGAATTTATACAAATTAAAATAATACAGTCAATCAATGACACAAAATTACAAAATATTTGAAAAAAAAATCATATGACTTCCTGTTGGCACATTCCATGATGTGGGGAAGGGTTGAAAAGAGGAATAGAAATGGCATTCAGATGTCTCAGCTACGATATGCGAAAAGTGTGCATTAAAAACCGAATTTGTTGTAAACTTTGTGCATAGCGCGTGCTGGAAGGTTAATATCCTTTCCTATCGATATCATTTCTGTTTCTCTGCCGGAATATAAATTTATAGCTGGAGTGATATTCATATGAGGTAGAAAGAAGAGACTATTAAATGGAAGGTTTTAGAACAGCAGTGCCCAAACTTTTGTTTGTTAAATTATGGTAAGCATTTATAGTCATAAGAGATATCTTGCAAGACGTTATAAAATAATTAATTGCTGACTGATGAACTTCATAGCGAACATAGAATCTTATTGTTTCATTCCGATGTTAGATGGCTCAGCAAGGGAAAAATATTGAAGTACGATTTGTAGAACATCTTTCGCCAATAAAGCAGTTTTTGGAATCCGGAAACAAAAGGTATAAAGAATTGGACGATAATAATTGGTTATCCGATCTGTATTTTCTCGCGGATATAACAGCTAAACTGAACAAACTGAATGAAGATCTCCAGGGAAAAGAATAAACCCTTTTTCAACTGACTGGGACTGTAACTGTTTTTCAGATAAAGTAAAATTTGTGGATAAATAAGATGAAAGGAAAACATTTCACCCATTTTTCAGAATTTATCAAGTCATATTAATAACCACAAGGCAAATAAAACAGAGAAATACTCGGAAAACCTAAATGCACTGAAAAATAATAAGAGATAAAATTCTGAAAAACTAAAATGTTATTTAAGTAGTGAAATAACAAATTTTCTTTATTATGTTTTAATTTTTATATTTTTATGTAAGAAGTATTTGATAACATATTTAATTTATTCTCTTATTCATTTAAATTATTTTATATAGCAAGAAACTTCAATTTAAAGAAGGCGGAAGCTCTTTTTCGAGAGGTTAGTATACTTATTAAAATTCTAGCATTCAATTAAGAGGTAAATATATGTACATACTGAAATTAATTCGTTTAAACTTGAAAGAATTAGATGTGAAGACCATTAAGCTAATAAAAAAATTACATTACTAAACTAATTTCTGTGTAGATTCTGAATGATAATATTGCTCACAAAAGTATTAACTTTATTCACATTTATTACTCATTTTACTTTCTTTATTACATGTTATGGGCACATTTTTAAACAGTTGGTGAGATATTAATAGATATTGTTGTTTACGTGAAATTCAGTTTGAAATTTTGAGATGACTGTTCGTTTCCTGTGGCAACGATTTCCTGAGAGTTATTTTTTTTTTAATAGCGCGCATAACTAACTCGTCTGTCTCCCCTGTGAAATCAGACAAATATCAAAATATTAAATAACCATTTTCAACATATATATAACATAAAAATACGTAAATCAGCTTTATAATTCAATTTAGTAATAACCTTTTAATTTAGTTATTTCCTCTTTATTCTGTAAATAATAATAACATTTCTATACTGCACCATTTCTAGATTAATTTATGCCACAAAATTTACGTTACGCTAATGACATAGCTTTTTCGAAACTTGAACTCTTGGGAACTGAAACTTTTCTAACTTAAACCAAAACTCGATGAGCTTCTATACTGGATAACTGCGCAGTTTAGATTGTATCTCTGTTGCTGCTTGGGCCGCCATTTTATTTTGCTCTCTTTCTATCGCAATAACATTTTTAAATGTAAATGTTCTGAAATTAGGGACGATTAGAGAATGGAATGTGGCTACAAATGTGAATTTAAATAAAAATTGAATTTAATCTACCTCGACGGCCAAGGTTCCTTTTCATTATGAATTAGCACTGTACGCAATTAGAATTCTTCCGCTTCAATATGTCATCTACGTGCTTCGTCAAATAACATTGTTACCTCTTTGTCTCTTTTCTATCATGCACGCGTGTGTGTATATATGTAATAAGATGACTTCGGGCAAGCTGCAGCAGACTGACAATGGTTCTATACTTTATATGAGGAGACTTTACTGCGTAGTTTGAAACATGACACACGAAGAAGACACGTGGCCGAACTTAATATAACTTTTATTAGCAGATACGAACTAATTATCAAAAACACAGTAACCTAAACCTTGTCTTGGTGAGCCTCCATACTGGATAACTGCGCACTTCAGCTTCTGCCTGTGTTCCCGCTTGTACGCTACTCCTCTCTGCTCCCTTTCTTCCGAAATTATTATCAAAAATGGAAATGTTCTTGAATAGGTGATTAGAGTGCCAAGTAAATTGTGACCACTAATGTCAAGTGAATTAAAAAAAAGAGTATTTATTTTAAGGGTAACTCGGCTGCAAGTTTCCTAATCATTACGGATTCAACATTTTAGCATTCTACGCAATCAGAATTTTACCTCTTCAGTATGGATGTGATGCACAATCAGTATTTCTACATCTCTGTATTCCCACTTCAGTCCTCATAAAATGTGTTATTATCGCACATATATATATATATAATTTAACTGAATTAAAAAATATTTCATTAATATTTCTCTTAAATTAAAATATCGATGAGAAGATGAACATAAATTAGATTTTCCTATATTTATTAATAAATTTTTTCAAAATATTTTTCTGTTTTTTCGTTAGAAGTATCATATATATCTCACTTGTTTCAAAACGTGAGCATTTGAATCTTTTGTAGTTTAACAGTAATTTATGCTTAAGAAAAAGTAAATTGAGTATTTTATATACAAAATATTATTGCTTAAAATTTTATTCACCTGATAAATATGAAGAATGTATATGAAGATTCGCGAAACAAGCTTTTTAAGTGAAATGATTAGTCTAGAAAATAGCTACTTAAACTATTTCCGACACGAAACGAATCTATTACCTGAAATAGCTTTTATATTGAATGGTTGAATACGACGCATATTTCATATGCAGAAAACATTAATGTTAATTAAATAACAAAAAGTGTATTTGAGATTATTTTCATGCCACTATATTGTAGTAAGGTTAAAGAAAATTTTATGTTGAATCTTCAGAGCTAAAGAACTGAAATATAGGTTTATAAAGTCAGTTCTTTATTGTTAAAAATGTGCACATCTTATACAAAAAAGATAACACACAGAGTGCACACTCTGCCCCCCTCTCCCCAAAAATGAGACAGTTCTACATCTCGTGTTCTACTGGGCCAATCGACGAAAAATAATTTTCGTGTTTGATATTTCGAAAGCGTCACTTAGCATTATATTAAATTTATATATAGCATTGTTCTGACCTAGGTATTTTGATACAAAATCGGACTTTTTCTGAAATGACAGTTTTCCACATTTCGATTCTACGACGCAAAGTATGCCTAGATGTTAAATTTTGCAAAATTTGGTGAGAAATGTACCGAGAAATTAAAAAAGTTATTTTGGTCACTTTTTTCAGTTGCGCCAAGAATAATTCACTTGGCGAAATTCTTAATTTATGGTAACCTATTTTTCTTTCCCCTTTCACTGTGCACGACAGGAAAAAAAATGCCTCGTTCATTCTTTAAAATAATTTTAACAAAGAACGTACACCATATTTATCGTTTATAAAACTTTAACAAAGAGCGTACACCATATTTATCGTCTATAAAATTTATGCTAAATTTCAAAACGCACCAATACATAAATTCAAGTATATCTTGGGTAATTGTGAACAAAGAATTCTAAATTTACAGGTATGCCTAGAAATATTTTTACTGTAAGGCGATGGTAAAATTTTTACAGGTTTTTATGTCAAATTTTTTTCCGAAAAATTTATAAAATTTACTAAAAAATTAAAATTTTAAAAATAAATCAGGAATTACCTTCGAATTTTATTTGGATTGAACCTGAATTCTGGACAGTGAAAGAAGGAATCAGATGATATTAATAAATACATTCCAAATTCAATTAACACTGAGAAGCTAAAATTTTAAGAGCTAATTTTTTAAAACCTCTTCGTGCGATATTTATAAAACTTGGTACTTTTGCATAACTTGAGTCTTAGAATTGAAATATGGAGAAAAATTTGTATGTCATTTTAGAAAAAGTCCCAGAACCCAGTCCAGAGTGTCCAGAAAAAGTCCAGAGTGTCAGAATACCTCTATTAGAACAATGCTACGTACAAATCTAATATGTATACTCTCACTTTCGAGACATGAAAAAAGCAAATTATAAGACCCAAGATATACTTGAATTTATGTATTGGTGCGTTTTGAAATTTGGCATACATTTTATAAACGATAATAACGCCAAATATGGTGTACGCTCTTTGTTAAAATTATTTTAAAGAATGAACGAGGTATTCTTTTCCCGGTCGTGCAGTGTGAACGGAAAAGAAAAATAGGTTATCATAAATTAAGAATTTCGCCAAGTGAATTATTCTTGGCGCAAATAAATAACGTCAATCGGTGCAGTAGAATAGGAAATATAGAGCTGCCTCATTTTTTTGTGTGTAAACTGTACATATTTAAGTAGTGTCATTTTATATTTCTTTAATTTCTGTTCTTAACTGTTAAGACTTTTTTTGGATGGAGGGAGATAACACATATAGCATGTATTCATGGTTCATATCTTTCTTTCAGATGTATTGTTGTCGACAGATCTATGAATTAGATACTATCGAGAAAAATTACGTAAAACCAGAGGTACGTGCTTTTTATTTAAATAATTTAGCCACCATTAACTTATTTAATTTTTAATATTTGATTTTTAACGGGGAAATATATAATTGAACTTGATAAAAGTATTCTAAATTTTAGTCACTCAATGATATAATGCTATAGACCAGGGGTTCTCAACTGGGGGTACGCTACCACTGGTGGTATGCAAGAGAAAAATAGGTGGTACACAAAGTATTTTTAAATATTAAATTCAAAAATTAAAACTCCACATCCTGATTGAGTTACTTCTCTAATGCTCGTAAATTCATGCGAGCTAAGCTTTGTTCAAGAGTGGTGGTGGAAGTAGTACTTGGTAGTGGTGGTACTAAAGGTTTCCGATTTTTATTTAGATGGTACGCGTCGCGTTAGTCAAAAGGTTAAGAACCGCTGCTGTAGACCTACACATATGTAATTTTGTAAACGGTGCAGAGCTAATACTGAGTGCAGCATACATTATTATCAATAACTATAAGTTTATTAAAAGATCTAGGAGTTACTTATTGAAGTGATACTGATATTGAATGACAGCTAGATGAAATAACCTCAAATCTGCCTGTCTTCAGTCGACATGAAAAGTTATAAGCTCCTAATTATGTAGAAATTAATTCAGAACCCTGACCTGACAAGCCAGAGATCGATCTGTCTAAAAATATTAGGTCTACGAAGCCCTACGAAAGTTAAAACAACCTCTTCATTAATCTTTAAACTTAAACAGTGCTTTTAAACGTGCTTACAATCAAAACATAGCGATTTGAGGGTAACATAAACTAACATAAGTTTCAGATTAAAATACACATAGACGGGGACTTCGCGTATTGGCTTATTTAAGCTGGTTCAGTATTATAAAAGGTGAGTTCTAAATTCAGCTAGCAAAAGAGCTAAAGCCGGAGTATTCACCGGCAGAGCTAGGTGATACAACGTAAACTGTTGCTAAAAGCTGTAAAACTAAAACAATCAAAACTCTACACTAGATAATTTGCATACCCAACCAGCTAATTTGCATACTGCTGAGGTCTGCGAAAACGGAGATGTTACTAAACGGAGATGTTACTACTTACTATTGTACACAAAGTTTTGAAACCTCATAGAATTTGGGTCAGCATCAGTCTTTCTACTGGGCACTCGTATTTCCATAAAGGAAATTGTCAAGACCCATTGTTACATAAGTACGTTACATAAATACCTGGGACCAGTTTGGACTCTGTATATTTAGTCATCTTTTTATTATCTTTCATCTTAAAGTAGCTTTTCCAGATGAAAGGGATTGGGTTATTTGGATATCGGCAAAACACGTGAGGAATATCTATTTAAATGAAGAGAGGCTTTCGTGGAATGTGGTTTGAGGGAATCTTTGTATCATGTTACACATTCGAAAATTTGCGAAAGCATCTATGCAGCTTTCCTTCCACCGGGTTTGAAGCCAGTTTCAGCTATCAATATTCAGTAGTTTTGCCGCTCCGCTGGTGATGGGTTCAAAATCATAGAGAAAAGGAAATGTTTATAATCAAAATTCAAAACTGTCAAGACGGTACAGGAAGAACTTTCGCAAATGAACTTCTAAGGAAGCATTTAAATTCATTTCGCATTCTTGTACCTTAATGTATGTAAATCGGAATCATACTCACGAATCACAGCAAGAAACTATACGTCACTAACTATACTATACTTCAGAAGAATGTTATACTGTCATGTTATTATTGTTATTATTATTATTATTATTTGATATTATTATTATTATTATTATCCAAAGGTGCAATTTGCCCAGAAGGGTAATTTCGTTTAGAGTCGTCTACTATAGTAAATTCATTATACTTAAACCCACTATATTATATTATATTCCACTATATTATATGCATTTAATTTATATTATAGTTCTGCTTTATATTTAAAAAAAACTAAATAATGAGGAATCTACGTGAATGTATGTATGTTTCTCGCATTCATAACTCAAAGGTTCATAACTCAAAGGTTGTTCTCGCATTCATAACTTTCATTGGTAAAAACAATGATACCTAGAGATATCAAATTTTGAATAACGTAGTTCTCCTATCGAATATCGGTATCTGGAAACCCAAATTTAGAATTTGTTTTATTATCTATTTCCTATTTTGTAAAACTTTAACGAATTTTTGATTAACAAACTCAACGATTTAGAAGCGAGCAATGCCAAAACTGTATGAAAAAAAAATATTTTTATTGCCAGCGCGCGAGATTGTGTATTGGAAATTCTAAAGTTATGCTCTTTTAAATATCTTGTGATACTACTGTTGAATTGAATTTTATAGTTTAAGTGCGAAGAACATGGTATTTAATAAATAAAGGTAACACACAAAACGTCAAATAAAGCCCCTTTGGGCGTAATTTGTAAAATCTAAAAGCTTTCATATTTTTTACATGTATTTCTTATTTATTGTTATTATTATTATTAAGCAATTATAAAATTCTTAAAATAATTTTAAAATTAAATTACTTAGAAGAGTTTAGTAGTCTCAGAAGTAGAAGTACAAAATTGTCATTGATGAATAAAGAATAAATATTAACTGAGGGATTAATACTAATGGACTTTTGAAGATCTTCGAGCTCTTAAAACATAGCATTTATTGTTACTTCACGGTACTGGTTTCATTCTTATAATAAAGAATGTAATAATAACTTTGCAATTATCGTTGCCTTATTGAATTTAATTACCATTTATTTCATTGGTAAAACACAATTAAAAGCATCTGAAATTTCTTTAAGCTATTTTTGTAAGAAATCTGGCGTTTAATAGCCTTTTCCTGATAAAATATACTTTGTGGAACAACATAGATCCTTGGATCTCAATGCTACACATCTAAAGACATTAAAAATGTATGAATTACAGTATGAGCATTTGGTAAAGATTATGCAAATGTGGAAAAATGGTGAAATTTATTTTAGTCTGTTGGTATATTTCACTAACAAAAGGTAAATTAATTTAGAAGTCAAACAACAAAAATCAGCGTTATATTTTCAAATTTTCACAGGACTAGTTTCGATACTTTTACCGAACCATCATCCTCAGCTGCAAAAGCGCAAATGGCATAGCGTATAGCTGAATAAAAATCATACTATTTACTTAGAGAATGTCTAATTTTTTTATTTGAATTTCAGGTTCTGGAGAAATATGAATATAATGGTCATATTGGTATTGCCAAAAATGGAACTCCAATACGTTATATTGCCATGGGCAGAGGCGATAATTTAGGTGAAATGAAAATTTTTCATTTATTTTATACAATGATACTGATGCGAGTTTTCAACTATTTTTTCTCCTGCAATTACACAAAAATATTAAATAACACTACAGTCAGTTCTATGTCGTAATTAATCACGTATACAGCATTTCAGGGATTTACGCATTTCATCAACAAATTATACAACTGATGTAAATTTAGTTGCATCTCTTTAGCTACCTATCCGCGTATATATGAAACTGTAAAATCGAAAACCGATAAATCTGTCTTTTAGTAATTATAGGGTGTTAAAAGTCCTAAATACCTAACAAGGTGTTCACGTTTTGAATTTACGCTGAGAAAGGAGTCATGATGAAACATAAAAGAATTTCTCTAATATCTCTGGTAAAAGTCGTTATGCTAATTACTCTCATAAAATATTATTAACGTAAATTAAAGAAAGAGAAATATAATTTATAGGTTTTTACTTGATTTGATAAAAGCTAATGAGTTCAAAACCGTTGCCAGACGTGAAATGAATTATCGCTGTTCCTGAAAGTAACTACAAAGCTCGGAAAGGTTTAAATAACAGTTTTATTTAAACGGAACTTTGAATGTAAACGTACTTTCCTATGCTAACAAATCAACCACAAATAACCACTGTTACTTTAGTGATGCAACTAAAGTAATAGTCAATTTCAATTTAAAATGTAGACTACACAAATTAAATCTTAATCTAAACTGACTCAAAAACTCTAACTGGTGTGCAATTTCAAATATAGGCAGCAATAACGCAAAGCCGAATAATTAATTCTTCTCAGAGCTGGCCAAACCAACGTAACGTGCCCGCGAATGGCAGAAGCAACCTCTCTCTTACAGTTCAAAATTCTCAAATTAAATACTATCTAAGAAATTTACATTCTAGTCAGGATGTAGAGACACTAGGTAATTTTTGGAAGCAGGAAAGATAAAAAAATGAGCAACGCCTTCATCGGGAATCGAACCACGGACCTCTCAATTACGCGCTGAGCGTGCAGACCACCACACCACGAAGGCTCGTAAAGAAGGCGGGATAAATGTCTTATATACTCTTTTAAAGGGCGACTGGGTTTTTTAGGGGACACAATCACCAAATCCTGAGTGAGGAGAATCATCATTCAACACCCTTTTAGTTCGGGCGCCATTGTAGAGACGTTAAGTAATTTTTGGAAGCAGAAGAGATGGAAAATTAGCAACCGCCTTCGCCGAGAATCGAACCACGGGCCTTTAAATTACGTGTGCAGACCACTACACCACGAAGGTTCGCTAAGAAGGCGGGAGAAATACCTTATAAGGAAATGGAAAGTAGAAGTTATAGTAAAGTACGAAATCATAAGCAACTGCTTAATTTAAATAATAATAAGCGTACAAATCCATTAACGCTTAAAAATAATCTTATTTGATAAAATAAACAAAATTTAGATGAATAAATTTAGCTAGTTCGTTAAAAGAAATTATTTTCCACCAGGTTTGGCAAATTTCAATGAGCAAATTTCATTTATTTCTCTCTTTATCAATTTAAAAAATTTAATTCATGGATTAAATTTTCTCACATTTTCGGTACCTTACCACATGCAGTGGAAAATGCTGGAATTTTCTTTACATATTATCACTATCTAAGGTAGTGAATTTTAACATTTATTGATCTTTGAACTTCTACAGTAAATTACACGTTTAATATTTCTGATTAATTAAATAACTTACATGTTTACGTAAAATGAGTGTAAAGTAAACTGACTAACTTGAAAATTTGACTTTTAAATTAACATAACATAGTTGATTCGAAAGGAATAAAATGATTATGGAATGATAAAAAAATAAAATGCTACTTTTCTGACTAACTCTCAAGAGAAAACAAGCTCTTATCTAAAGCACTCGTTTACTTAAATTAAGTCTATCACCTTGATGTCACATTTTTAAATTCCTATTACATCACGTTCTCCCTATATCGTGTTCAAATTTTCAATCGTTAATAAAATACTTTTTATTCATCCACTGAAGTTCAAACACATTTTTTTAAACTTGTAGTGGATGACACTTGATGATAATACAGTTTTTTCGCATATTAAAATTTTTTTAATTTTTTATTTAAAATTGCTTTTTGTATTTGTAATTTTTTTTTTTTTTTTTTTGTATTTTTAAAATTTTTCTTTGTTGACCTAAGTAGGAATTGACTTTTTTTTATTACTTGTTATTAACTGAGAACAAAAACCGATTTGTTTAGCAGCGAATTTGTTATAAACTATATAATATATATAATATATTTGTTATTTGTTATATATTGTTTGTTTGAAGGATTTGTTATCAAACAATATTTCCTGAGATGTTTTTAGTTCTTGCTTTTCTGTTTATTACTTTCTGAAAAAATATTAAATGATTGATAATTTACATAAAAATCGAGATATTTTTCGGAATAAATGTTTCATTGAAAACGGAACTTATAAATTAACTAATTATCATTTATCTGTTTTAACAAATTATCGTTATTGTTATAATTATTATCATGAGAAATAAAATTGCAACTGTATAAATTTTTCTTGTGCTCCCTAATTACTAATATTTCTTTTTAGGTTTTCTCAAGTCTGTATCTGGCTATGGAATTTGCATTTATGCAAGTTATATAATGCAACTAGACTTGAATTTGATGAGGAAAGAAAGTGAAAGGGTAAATATAATAGACATTTCATTCCTTATGAATAACATAAATCTTGCAAATGAGGATGATGGTTCCGTAAAAACCATCGAAACTAGTCCTGTGAAAATTCGAAAATATAATGCTGATTTTTGTTGTTTGACTTCTAAATTAGCACAAATCTATTTCACTTCTAGGAGAAACTTCCAAAGAAAAAAATCATCGTATTATTACCATAATTTTTTTCGTTACAGCTAAATTAATAAACTATTTGTTTGACTCTGCTCTTGATATTGGTTCTTCCCCCCCCCCACAATACATGCACATTATCACTTATTCTTGTGTTAATCTGAGATATCAGTTAGATTCTGAAGCTTCAAACATTCTTCCAATTTAGAGCTAAAAAAAGCTATTTCGTTGGTTATACAGCAATTGAAATATTGATTCTTATTGTGAATAAAAGATTTTAATTTACAAGATTGTAACAAATTCTTATAGAACGAATTCAGAATGAAAGACATATAACAAATAAAATATTTTAAAGTTCGTTTAAGTCTAATATATATATTATTAGTTATCGTAAATATTGGTACATGAACTCAAATATTTATACATAAAACTGAATTTAATATAAAGATGGTAAATTAATTATGTACGTATACAGAGAGTTTTAGCAATGATTACAGTAAATAAAATCTCTGAAATGATTGGTCATTCGTCCATGGCTCCAGTTTAAGGGTGAACAAACTAGGCTTTATTCATCCTTAAATTTATCCTTACTAAAGGTCTTTTAACCCTTTCCGGCACGCTACCTTTTAATGTCGGAGTTTTGATAAAAAAAAAAAAAAATAGGTAGGCAATCTAATTAGGCCTAGAGGAGTACACAAGTAAAATTTTGTGAAGATAGCACTTATCGTTTTAATTCTGTGGGTGTGCCCAAAGTGGGCACGCTGATTGAATAGAACTTCGAAAAGAGTGCTGAAATGAGCGTTGTTGTCAATGAACTGACTGATGAGATACGGAGAAACAAAGCATACTGACTCTCAGTTGTCCTAGATTATCGGTGAGCCCGATCTGGGCACACCTAAGGTTCGCCGTTTGATTTTAGGCAAGATTTCAATATAAAAATTTAAAACTAATATAGAATAAGGAGATTAGTATTTAGCCAAAAAAATAACATATAAATTTCTTTTCAAACAATTATTTTATACCCTAAAAATCTGGAAGATTTCCTTGAAAAATGAGTGTCTTAGAAAACTAAACATGGCTAAAATATATGGACTGGTTTGTGTTGAGCTATCATGTACTATAAATAAAGAAGGCTCAGAGTAACCTATAAATCCTTTTCCATTCAATTTTTCTCAGAATACAGAAGGAAATTTTTAAGTGTGTCCAGACCGTACACACTGTCCCGCAAAAGGTTAAAAAAGGGGGTAAAATTTGTTCTGAAAATGTAATCAAAATTGTATGATTAAAATTACTTTTACCAGAGGAAAAAAAGGGCAAAGATATCAGTTTAGGAATTGTATAGAAGACGATCTCTTTAGAAATAAGAATGCAAATGCTTAATTGGAAACCCACGCTCTTTCAGTTTTCTATCATAAAATGTATCCATAAGAAATCTGCATTTTGAAACTGACGTACGTTGCTGTCTTTAGAGGTGCTTAAGTGTAGACACTCCAAACTCATACAAATTTTAATGGGATGAAGATAGACTCTTTTCTCTGAGCTTGATTAATTCAAGTGTGTCTATAGAAGAGAGGAATTTTGAATGATAGTTTCGTTGGCTGTTGACGAGCCACAACCTTTGATACCAGTACTTACCTACAACGGATTGGCAACAGTGTTTTGTTTTTCTCTTGTAATTCAGCGGTATATGAAACCGTAACTAGTAACGAATCTACATTTTCTGTAAAAAAATTTATATTTTTGTCACTCTTATGAGGAGTACCTTTTCTTGTCGCATAACATAACAAGGCTTATTCAAGTCTGTTTTAACGAAAGTGGTTGTAGTGTTTTCATGAAAAATTTTTCCACAGGCATGTAAAAGAAACAAATTTCATTTATTTTTATTAAAAAGGTCAGATGATTTAAAATGTCACATACAGGATGGCATCACCTTGTTTCACTTATTTCTTAAAGCGTAATTATGGGTTCAGAGCTAGGCTTTAAGAAGGTATTTAGATGTGAAATTTTTTAAAGGTAGTTAGATATGCAAATATATGTCTTGACTAGGTGCAATTTTTTTCAAAGCCAGTTGTGTAGATTGTGATATCTGGCGACTGTTTGGCGATCAACAGAGCATGCTTGGCGCAGGTAGCTCTTCTTCGAGAAGGGTTAATGTATTTATTAGGAGTTGCATGTTAGCCTCGGAAGAGGAAGGTAGTAGATTGTACTATGCGGTAGCAGCGACGTACTGCTCTGAGTATCTATTATATTATGCTTTGAATTATATATTTAATAAATGTTTGTTTCGTCTTGCTAAATGGTGCCTTATTAAACCATGAAGTCATCACAACACGCTCTCTTACGAGAACCAGAGAGGTCAGAAGCTTAGAGCGTTGAAAACGGAAGAGGCGTAAAGTTAAGCCTAACTAACGAAAGAAGTGTTCATTTTCAAAAGAGAGTAAAAACGTGAGAATTATTTAATCGAGAGTTTGAAAGGCTTGATTCTAAAGGAAAATAGAAGAAAATGTTCAAAAACGCAAAGAAAGATGATTTAGTAACAGTTCTATTGGAAATTGGCGAAGAAGCATCCCCAGATTTGAAGCTGGTAGAACTGAAACACAAACTCCAGAATAGCAAGGAATACATCGAAGATGCTGATTTCGTGAAAGAAATTCTGATTACTACAGTGGAGAATAGAAAAAGAAAAGAAGAAATGGAAAGAATGCAAATGGAAGAAGAAAGAATAAGAACAGAAAGAGAACACGAAATAGAACTAGCGAAGATTCGAGCAACTCAAAATGAAGGAAGTAGAAGTCCAACACCTTTAATCCAAAACACAGAACGAGAAACCGAAATTTCCCTGGACAAGCTGATCAAAGGAGTAGAAACACTGACTATACCAGTACCGAAGAGAGCAGAAGAATGGAATATATTTTTCGATTCTATCGAAAGAGCATTTAAGCACAAGAAGGTTCCTGAAGAATACAAATCAGAAATATTATTGAAATTAATTGGAGAAAAAGCTTCAAATGTTCTTGTTTATATAAAGGAGGAAGATCTGCAAAATTACGAAAAAGTGTGAAAACTCTTGTTCTGAAGGAATATCAACCTACTCCTCAAACCTGTTTAGAAAACTTCAGAAAAACTAAACGTTATTCCGGCGAAACGCATATCCAGTTCGCTTCAAGACTAACAGCTACATGGGACTATTACTGCAAGTCAAGAGAAGTAAAGGATTTCGAAACACTCAAGGAGTTAATTATTTCCGATAAATTATTCCAAGCATTAGATGAAGAAACAGCTGCACACGTCGCAATACGCCAAGGAAATAAATGGCTGAAGCCTCAAGAATTAGCTACAGAATGTGATATTTATTTCACGGCCAAAGGAAAATCTTTCGACGAAGTTCGAAATGGAATTAAGCGATCACCGAGATTCCTGGATACAACATGTGCACACGACAAATATATTCCACCACCCATGAGAAAAGAATATCCAAAACACGAAAGATTTCACGCGAGAAGAAAAGAATGTTATATTTGTGGAAATTATCAACACATCGCGAGAGATTGTCCAGACAAAAGAAGAAAGAACGAAACTGCAGTAAATAAGAAGGGAAAGGATGATTCCAAAACTCAAAAAAATTCAAACAGAACATCAAAAGAAGAAGCCATCGTAGCTAAAGTAGACTCATCCCATCTACGATCTGAATTCGCAGAACGCATCGTTCAACCACTGCAAAAAGTAGATATTTTTATTAACTCTGAGAAAATCGAAGCTATCGTAGACTCTGGAACGCAGATAACGATCGTACATTCATCGCTCATTCCAAATTTAGAGGAGAGAGAAGGAGGTAAAATATTGCTAACACCTGCTTTCGGACAACCAATTGAAGCAAAAGTTTGCCGTGTACCTATTTACCATAAAGATCATGGAAGCAATATATTTAATTTTGTGGATACATTAATTGCAGTGACTGATAAGCTAAATGTGCCTTGCCTAATAACTCCAGAAATATACGAACTGTTGATTAATCCTGCGGCAGAAGAACCAAACGCAGAAAGAAATAATTACGGAAGCGAAAACTTACAAACTTTATTCGCCAATGCACAGTCAAACGACAGCGTCGATTCCCCCCCGCTAATGCTTATGGAGGAGAAAAACGAAGAGGAGGAAGGGAAGAAGGCGAGTGTTTATGTAAACACAGACTTATCGTCTGCTGAACGCCTACGCGAAGAGCAAGTTAACTGTCCCTCGCTGAGAGAAGCATGGAAGCTAGCAATAGAAAAAAAAAAGGAAATTATTTATTTATTGATCATCTTTTACATCACCAAGAAAAAATATTAGGACAGAATGTTTTTCAGTTAGTGCTTCCACTTAGTAGAAGAGCACAAGTGTTGGAATTAGCACATAGTTCCATTTTCGGTGCACATCTTGGGATAAGAAAAAAAAACAAAGGAGCGAATACGATATTCATTTTATTGGCCTGGATTAGCACAAGATGTTGAAACCTTTTGTAAAACGTGCAAAGATTGTCAGTTGAAAAGTCCAGAAAAGCGATCTGACAAGATTCCCATCACACCCCGGTCAGAAGGCCAGGATTACCTTTCGAAACAGTTAACATCGACATTATTGGACCTATTGAACCTCCCTCTGCTAGGAAACATAAATATGTGTTATGTCTGGTAGATCAACATTCCCGATGGCCAGAAGCCATTCCACTGAGAAGCTTGACAGCAAAAGCCACTTGCGACGCGCTTTTGGAGATTTTCATGAGAACAGGAATCCCTAATACAATAGCTAGTGACAACGGAAGTAACTTCGTTTCAAAATTAACTAAAGAATTCCAGAAAAGACTAGGTTCTCACCCTAGGTTCTCTACACCTGCTTACAGTGCTTCAAATGGATTAGTAGAAAGATGGAACAAGTCCTTCAAGCAAATGTTACATCATGTCATCAGGACTGATCCTTCGAATTGGGATAAGCACATCCCATACCTGCTCTTTGCATACAGAGAAGTACCAAACTGCACCACGGGTGTCTCACCATTTCAGCTGATGTATGGAAGACAACCAAGAGGTCCTTTAGCAGTACTGAAGTCTTCATGGTCAGGAGAAATACCTATACCACCTAATCTAAGTGAATCGGCAGTGGATTACTTACAACTTTTAAAAATAAGGTTAGAACAAGCAGCCGAACAAGCCAATTTAATTGCAAGTGATAAACAACAAAAATATGCTGAGTACTTTAATCGGAGATCAATACCAAAAATTTCAAAAATTTCAAAATCGGAGAACAAGTTTATTTACTCATACCAGATTCAAATAACAAACTCTATGCACGATGGACTGGTCCAGGAGAAATCGTGAATCATTGCCCACCTCATTCCTATAAAGTAAAACTACCTGATGGAAAGATCAAACATGTTCATGCAAATAAAATTAGAAAATTCCAAGCTAGTGTCAATGCAGTTGGAGTGATATTTGAAAATGAAGAAGAATTTGGAGAAATTATAACTTTACCAGGAAAAGATCTCTCGACCCCCCTGGAAGATTTTAAAATAGATGCAAATCTGAATTTAGAAAATTTGAATCCGCAGCAGAGAAGAAAATTGATAGCTCTTATCAACAAACACACCGAGCACTATTCACCGGAAAGCTGAAAATAGCTAAAGTTGAAGCTCATAAAATTAGATTAATACCCAATATGGAGAGGAAGAAACCTTACATTTATAGGATTCCTGAAGCATTGAAACCCAAGGTCGATGAAGAAGTAGAAGAATTATTGAAATCGGGACTAATAGAAGAAAGTAATGCAGAAATAGCTCATCCAGTAGTTTGTGTAAGCAAAAAAAAAATGGAGATATCAGATTGTGCTTAGATTATCGAGCTTTGAATGCAGTGACGAAGCCAGATGACTTTCCTATGCAAAATGCCATTGATTTAATGTACAGTATAGGAAGAGCCAACGTCATAACAACTTTAGATTTGCTGAAAGGATATTGGGCAATTCCCATGGAGGAACAAAGTAAAGAGTACACATCGTTCAAAACTCATCGAGGTCAATATCAGTTTAAAGTGCTACCCTTTGGATTAAGGAACGCAGCAGCAACTTTTCAGAGAGTAATGAATAACGCGCTGAAAGAATTTCAACAATTTTCAAGAGCCTATATTGATGACATAGCTATATTTTCCACGGATTTCGACACTCATCTCCAACATCTGGATAAAGTTTTTACCAAACTAGAGTCACTTGGATTTACTATCAATTCGAAGAAATGTTCGTTTGCAAAACCTCAAATTAAATATTTAGGACACATCATTGGATCAGGAAAACATCAACCAGATCCCGAGAAAATAGAGGCAATCAAGAAGCTGGAAACGCCGAAAACGAAAAGAGAGATCTTAAAAGTCTGTTAGGACTATGTAATTATTATCGCGATTATATCCCAGGGTATGCAGAGATCGCCTACCCACTCACAGAACTCACGAAAAATAAACAACCGGAAATACTCGAATGGAAAGAAATTCATGAGTCAACATTTCAACAACTGAAGGAACGATTAGCGATGTCAACGGAGCTGATCACCCCAACACTGCAGGATCCGTTTGTCATTCATTCTGATGCATCCCAAATCGGAATAGGTGCATGTTTGTCACAGCAAAGGGGAGAGAAGCAATTTCCCATCTGCTACGCGAGCAAGAAATTATCGAAACCTCAACAGAGCTGGCCGACTATAGAGCGTGAAGCTTATGCTATAGTATGGGCATTGAAGAAGTTTGAACCTTGGATATTCGGTTCATCGGTGAAAATTGTGACTGATGATCATAATCCTCTAGCCTTTATAGTGAGAAATGCTCCGCAATCGTCCAAATTACAACGATGGGCCATAGCTTTGCAGAAATATAATCTCGAAATAGAAGAACATTGCCCTGGAAAAAAACTGTCAAACGCGGATGCATTATCCAGACTTCCCACTTGTGAACTTTGAACATTAATTTACTGTTCATCTTCACGAACATTTTGTATAGTTAATAATTAGATAGTTTTCTTTGCTTTTCATAATCATTTTACAATTTTGTGCAAATAAGATGTTTATGTAATTTGAAATAGATAGAGAAATTATTGGATAACAAATATTCGAGGTAAGTGGTAAATTTAGATATTTGTCTCCCAAGGATTTAAATCATGCTGCAGCATCATTAATTAAAAGGAATGTTAAGAATATAATTTTATATATATAAGAAAAACTTAATAATTTTACTGTCATCATTGGAATAATACTAGGGTATATTTTAACATGTTTATAAAAGAAAATATCAACTTGGTTTCTTTGAATTAAGAATTGATAAATTGTTACAATAATAATAAGGTTCGGAACAAGTGAAGTTAAAAATGATTTATCTATGTTTATATATAAAAATGTGTTATCTATGTTTATGTAGTAAATTGAGGTATATCTATAGTAATTGAGATTTGAAAATTAGGAAAGAATGTATAAAAGTATATGTAGTTTTTTTTTCTTTTTCACGTTGATCGCAAACAGTTGCTAGATTTTAGTTTCCAGAGATTGCTGATTGATTTGTAAATAATATCAACAACAATCTTACGACGGGGGGTGTGATATCTGCGACTGTTTGGCGATCAACAGAGCATGCTTGGCGCAGGTAGCTCTTCTTCGAGAAGGGTTAATGTATTTATTAGGAGTTGCATGTTAGCCTCGGAAGAGGAAGGTAGTAGATTGTACTATGCGGTAGGAGCGACGTACTGCTCTGAGTATCTATTATATTATGCTTTGAATTATATATTTAATAAATGTTTGTTTCGTCTTGCTAAATGGTGCCTTATTAAACCATGAAGTCATCACATAGATATTCTTTTGATTCACGCTAACGTCTGTTGATTCTTCCAACACTGCAGTATTACATTGTGAGGATTTACTTACTTATTTTGAATAATAGTTAAATTTTAGTTAAAGAAACTTTTCTTTCATTCTCGTTTTCACTCACGCTTTCCTGCCAGAATGCTTATCAGATAGCGCTCGTATATTCACATTAAAGGAGAAAGAAATATTTAAGCGAAATTCCGGAAAGTGTCTTTAGAACGTGTTATGTCTGCTTGAAGGCCACGCTATTATTTTGAATTACTAGCGGTTTGATTCTGTGGCGTTAATTGCTTTTAGCCTTTAAGCTTGTTTCTGCCGGCCTCTGCGAGTCAAAGCCTTCCTGCGCGTTATTTTATCCTATGAGCCATTAAGATAGTTAAGTTGCATTTTATTTTAATTTCAACATTACCTGTTTGAGTTAAGCCAAAAGTGCTGGCTTTATGGAAGACCAAGTGGGACCGTCTGTTCAACGAAATGTGATTGAATAAAGGGTACTTTACACCCTTTATCTGACTTTGCCTGTTGTTGTCAAGTGCTGCGGAAAATTCCTCGTACAGTCTTTGACAGCTCGTTGGTTTATACTATAAAAAAGAACGAGACTGTGGAACATTAAAACTACGCAAAAGTATTTTGTTCACGCATAAATCTATCAGAAAGTTTAGCTAGGAGTGAAAAATCAAACAACAGAAAATTCCCAGTAAATTACTTATAAAACTAATTAGCCTTAATTCAGAGTAATTAGCAACACTTAAAGGATAATTATTATTTAAATTACCCTTTAAATAATGTCCCTCTAATGTCCAGAAACTAATGTCCGTCTCCTTTCGTAAATCGTTCTCGTGTAGTCCAAAATGATCATCTGCTTTATCTTATTGGTTGCTTAGTGCTAATTAGAATTAACAATTCTAAGTAGAACAACTTTAAATTGAATCCTAACTTAAATAAAATAATTTTTCTCGCATCCTGATTTATTATTAGTCTAAAGGGTCTTTGTCCCTGAAGGACTATTGTTTGCGTTTTGTGATTTTGCGTTGAATCACTATAAATGTCTGTTTCACTTTTCAAACTATTGCCAACAAATGTTAGAGTCCTGCATTACATTTGAAGAAATTAAATAATGAAAAATCTGCATAAATCTATGTATATTTGTGATAAAACATCGGTATCTAGAGACATCGAGTTTTGAATGACGTAATCCTCCTACGAATATCGGCATGTGGAAGACCCAAATTGAAATTTGGAATTTGTCTTATGATCTATTTCATATTTTATAAAACTTTAACGAATTTTTGATTAACAAACTCAAGGATTTCAAAGCGAGCCATGGCATTACTCTACGGAAGGAAAAAACCTTTTTATCTCTAGCGCGCGGAACTGTGTATCGGAAATTCTAAAGATAGGCTCATTTTAAAATTATTTTGTGACATTGCTATCGAACTGAATTTTTATGGTTTAAGTGAAAAGAACATGATATTTAATAAATAAAGGTAACACACAAAACGTTAAAAACACGCCCCGTTGGCCGCAATTTAAAATCTGAAACTTTTCAGATTTTTTTTTTTTTTTTTCTGTCTTTAATTTAATTTTAATGTAATCTCTTTCAATGTTTTAAAGCATAAAGGAAAGTTGAAGATGACATTTGAAGAACACATTTGAAGAATCGTTTGAAGAACACATTATGAAATATTAAGACAGAGATTACATTGAAATTTTTGGCTATATTAAACAAATTTATTTCTAATAAAATGTCTGTAATGGATACAAAATATAAATTAAATTCATTTTCGTTTGCAGACAGGACGAGAAATAAACGAAGTCACATACATTTTTGATATGGACGAATTTGCTGTTCAAGACAACCTCTACAAAAGCCGTGAGTACTATCACTTCGATATCAACAACAGTTCAACTGAAATTCATATCTGTAACATAGATAATGAGTCTTAGCTATTCAAAGAAATTATCTTTACCATTCAATTCTTAACCATTTTCTGTTTACTTCGTCTTACTCTCTTATTCTTATGTATTAACCAATAATTACATCGCTATTATGATCATAGAATAGAAATTCACCACATCACCCCTCGGTACATCGTAGAACAAATTACATAACAGGTAGAATCGTGTTTCCTAATACTTTTATCATATTATTTCGTTGTTTAGTTTTTATAACTGTAGTTGAATTTCCCACTTCTCATACTTAGTCTAGTTTTATGTAGTATAATTGCTGTGGTTAAGTCTAGTTGGAATTTTTCACTTCTTTTTTGTGAGAGCTAGAAATTTAACAGTGACAACTTAGAATCAGTACATCTCACTTAGAACCTCAACATAAGGAAATTTTAAAAAGGAAATCGCAATTTCATTCATCTCATGAACATGTTTAAAGTAAAATACTTGTACATTGTTTTTAAATTTTAAAAAAATTTTATTTTGACCTGCCAAACTTTTTTTTTTTTTTTTTTTTTTTTGATTTTTGGCCTTCGACCGAAAATGTTTGCCCATTTCTGTTTTAGTACAATGTCCTCAACACGTACATCAAAACCACTTTGTCGTTCACACTGCTGCAGTTCTCATGTACTTAGTAGTGATCCAAATGATGCCAAGTTTTGCTTCGTACGATCGCATCTCTCCATGAATTTAAAAAAAAAAAAAAAAAAAAAAAACCTCTTCCTCGCGCTCATAACACTCCAAGGTCCAAGAGATTAAATAATGTTACATGTACATTTCTACATTTCCAAAAATTCTGATCCTTCTGTTTTCTAAACATCATAATTCGGCAACTTCAGACCATGAACTGGATATTAAATATTAATATTCTTGTTTATTATATTCACTAAAATATTCTTGTTTTCCTAAGCTTGATGTCTTTGGTTGCATATTCCATCGACTTCAAACCGTATAGACTATATATTTTCTCAAAAAGTCTTAAAATTAAGGAAACTGTGCTGAAAATAAATGAATTAGTAGAAAGGATGGAATCCCAATCAGATTATGACCAGATTCGTCTATTGCCACTGCCAACCATTAAGCTGTATGCTTTAAAGAAACGTTCTCAGTAATTATGGGAAATGTTTCTTCTAAAGAATTTAAAATGAACTTAAGAACTGAATACAGTTCATTATTGTACTGTGATAATATTATGTTCATAAATTGTGAATAATATTTTTAAAAGACTAGCATCCAACTAGCATATAAAGTACTTAATGTTCAATGGAGACAGTTTTATTATCGTACCTAGGTAATAGCAGGGGTATAAATAGGATCCTCGACACTTGCGATAAGATATGTTTCCATAATATTATCATAATCAGCTAGAGAATTATGTACAGGAGGGATATAGGAATTATTTTGATGGGATTTGCTATTTTGATTTTTTATGGTTTTTTAAATTTTGTTTCATCGATTTCAAATTTCCAAAAAGAATTAGATACGAAATCAAGCATTATTATATTCAGTGGAAAGTTTCCTTCTGTAAACTAAACTTACCTTTCATTACATGGAGTCTGTCATTGGTTAGGGAAGGGGAGACACAGAGGTTTCGTTGTTGCATTCGATTATCACAGCTTTTCAAAAATATAATGTTTAGAACCTGTCATATTCTGTTCCAGAATAGAAAAGAAAATCCAATACACTGGCGACTATAGCCTTTAAATTTATCCTTATTAATTTTGTGTAACATGATTGGGAAAAAGCCTCTAAGCCCTGGTAGTTCAATTCGGATTCAAGTAGGGGCTAATTGCACAGATGGTTTCCTTGGCTTGCATTTTCCCCCCTATTCTGTAAATATGAGCAAGTTTTCTTTAAAAATTTCAGCATGATGACATTCATGTCTTTAAGCAAACAGCCTTCATATGCTTTGCCTTAATCCATCAATCTTTTGTATGCTAAGATCTTCTGTAACACATTATCAGGCAAGGTAACTTTGTAGTTCATCCCAAATTGACACTTTTTACATCTAAATCTCTTTTTGATTCTTCCTTTTTTGATTAATATCAGAAGAACCATATGAATCTTCTTAGGCCTTTTTAGAATCCTAAAATTATTTGCATGCACATAACGTGCAATTTTCATTGAAGTTTACATTAAAAAATATTTCATATTTTCTCCCAAGTAAAACCCTTGAAATTTCGTAACTCTTCAGACCCCTTAATTTTCGTGCTTGTAGTAATAATGGTACTAAATTCAATATTCAAAAATTTCTTTGACCTTAAATTTGAAAGTGTATCTAAGTGTGATTTATAGTCATACAAGTCAATCCTGAAACACTTTCTCACCTCCTTTCCGTTTACTTGCGCAGCCATATTGTCTAAAAAATATTATTTGTCTATAAGTATTTATTTATCTACTCAGCAGTAGATCCTTAAAGTGTAAAATAAACGGTAAGTATCCTATATAAAAATGTTAAACAACAGGATAAAGGGAAAAAAATGCCGCATGATCCCGACTATAAAATACTGCTTTAATTTAAAATTGGTTGTGAAGCTAATAGTTACAAAAAAGCATTCTGATTAGAAGACATGAATCCTGTACATGATAGAAAATATGTATAGCCAATTAACTGTTTAAATTTTTTGCATTTAAAAAGTAAATTGAATGAACTGATACAAGGAGGTGTATACGTTTGATATTTAGCATACGCTTTTACGTTATTTTGAGAATAAAACTTCGTTTATCTTGTACCTAATAGATGGCGCCACCAAACAAGTGGGAGCCGAGGTAATGATTTTTCAGGTGCGAAGAAATGTCGAAATTCAAAAGCGTTTAAAATTTTAAAATATTTTCGTCTAATAGTTCAGTTTTTTTTTTTTTTTTTTTAACATTTACGTAGTAGTTTTTTCTCAATTTAAAAACTGCAAATAAAATTTTACAATTGTTAATTTGTTAATCCACCTACGTTATTCCACTTGCACACAGTAGAGCCAAATATAGAAATAAAATCCTGTCTAACAAGATTCCTATCGAAACTTCTAAAAGATTCCAGTAAAATACAGCGCGTCTTTTTGTTGAGAAATAAAATTATTTTTCATTGGAAACTTATAAAGATTCTTAAAAAATTTATTTTTTAATTCCTCTTAATTGACTGTGAAATGTCTCTTCTTTTGTATGTTTACTCGAAATTGTTTCATTTACATTTATTTTTTGTTTTATTTTTTTTTTTTATTTTATAGTTATTGAGACAGGGTTGGATCTTGGCCATATTGTGCAAGAGTATTATCCAGAGATATGGAGCAATGTGTTCTTTATTAATGGTAGGTATAAAGCCCCGTTTCCATTAGTGCGTTACCAACAATTGGGATAAATGCATTACGACGACTGTTTACATCAGGGATGGGCAAACTCCGGCCAGCCGGAAGGTTCTATCCGGCCTGCGGATAGAATTTGCCGGTCGGAGGCAAATTAAAAGAAATATATTACATATCCGTCTCTTTTTCTACTTTGTTTAAATATTATTTTTTTAATTCCTTTTTTCCAAAGGACTGATGATCTTTGTACTTTCTCTATATTTGTTCTACAAAACATAAATCGACGGAAATAGCAAGCACAGACAGCTTTCAATCGGTAAAGTGTCAAAAGCGGAAGTTCTTTGTTAGTTGTAGCTGTAGATATGCGCCAACAAGCGTTATCTCTTTCTCGGGGAGCAAACATATGAGAATCCAATATAGGTGAATTAGACCTCTAAAAGTTAAAGATAATTCAAGTTTTTTAAAAAAAAAAACTTGAATTATCTTAACTTAAAACTTAATCTGTTTTCTGGACAGCTAGCTAAGAACGACTTGTCTCATTTCCCGAGGTTAAATTCAGTGGCCTCAGTACATGAAGAGAAGCGTCAGAATTAAGAAGATGGCTTGAAAAAACTGCATTTTGAGTTCAAACGAAGATTTCAGTGTCATTCAAACAGAATTGGATATTTTTACCATGCCTTTTAACTTAAATTATGAAGCAAGGAGAGCAGATTTGCAGCTTGAATTAATTGAGTTGCAATCTAACAATCATCTCGAGCAGTTGTTTTTAAATATGCCAAAGTTAGAGTTTTACAAATCGTTATCGAAATTAAGTTTCCCAAATTTAATATCTCACGCCCAGAAAAGCAGTGCTATGCTTACTTTATCTTATGTATGTGAAGAAGTATTTTCAACTATAAACCTTAGAAAGAATTACTTTAGACTGACCAGATGAACATTTAGTCTCGTTTCCTTAGAATCAGTATATCTCACTTCGAACCTCAATATAAGGAACTTATAAAAATGAAATCGCAGTTTCATTCATCTCATCAACATATTTAAACTGTAATACTTGTATATAGTTTTTAAAATTTTAGAAAAATTTATCTTGGCTCGCCAAACTTTTTTTTTTCCGATTTTTGGTCCGCGACCGAAAAAGTTTGCCCATCCCTGGTTTACACTATTGCATTGGATTTAATGCTTTCAGCTCATGTTCTACGGAAAGAGGAAAAAAAGGACTTTAATAATTTTTTTTTATATAACATATAATATGATTAGTTTCAAAGTTAACAGAGTTTAATCTTTATACTTGTATAAGTCAAAGTTTTCATTCTCTTTATGAAGACCATTATTTAAATTGTTTCCTTTCAAAACAATTGCTAATTTTATACTAGGAACGTATCTTATTTTTGCGCAAAAAAAAAGTTTTTTTTTTTTTTTTTTTTTTTAATTTATCCATTTTTTTAAACGTACATTAAAGCTGTGGCCTCGCATGAAGACCGCATGCACGATATAAAAGCAGCTGACGGCCGTACAATTTTTTTTAATAAAATGAGAGTGAATTTATATACGTATTAATAAGTTAAAAAGAAAATTTATGTTATATATACTATAGTCAACTTGTAAACACGAATTGGTAGTCATTAAATTGTTTTGCAAAAGCAATCTAAAAGCAGCTGACGGCCCTACATTTTTTTTAAATAAAATGAGAGTGAATTTATGTACGTAATTATAAATTAAAAATAAAATTTATGTTAAATATACTACAGTGAACTAGCCCCCCCCCAAAAAAAAAGAATTCGCAATCAATAAATTATTTTGCAAAAGCAATAAACTACTGAAGAAAAAATCCAATTTAAAGAAATAAGAAAACGTGTTCTTTTTCGAAATTCGCTAAATAACCGGAGCATAATTGCAAAAATTACAAATTAAACGCAACAAAATTAGAATTTACAAATCTTGGTACAGCTTTTAAAAGGGAGGACGTATCGAGAGAATGAAATGGATCAGCCTGTTTCTGAACTGATAATGACAAAAAATTATTAAATTTAAAACTTTAATAAACTACAAAATAATTTGGGGCTTCGCCATTGCAACCCTCTACAAGCTGAAATGAGAAAGGCCTTACCTAAATTCATACAAAGAAAGACCCGTTACTATCCAGAATTATAAAATCAGTATCACTACAATCCATTTGATTAAAATAAATATAATGAAAATCAAGTTAAGCGAAATAATTTATTAAACAAAAGTGCTAAAGTTAGTAGCAACTGTAATCTGTATCAATCAAGCTTTAGACCTGTAATTTAAATACAATACTGAAATAAAAAAAATTCTGTCAGCAACTAATAATTGAATTAAATTAAAGATGGTAAATAAACTAACAAGAACCTAAAGAAAAAATTGAATACTTATGCATTAGAAGAAATGGAATAAACTAAACGTTGTAGAGACATTAGGTTAATTGAAAGCCGAAGAGATGAAAAATTAGCAAACGCCTTCGCCGGGAATCGAACCACTGCCCTCTGGAATACGCGCCCATTGTCCAGACCACCACACCACGAAGGCATGCCAAGAAGGCGGGAGAAATACCTTATATACTCTCCCCTTTTAAAGAGCAACTGGAGTTTTTTAGGGGACCCAATCCCCAAATCCTGGGTGAGGAGAATCATTATCCAACACCCTTTTAGCTCCAGCGCCACTGTAGAGACATTAGGATTTTTTTTTTTTTGAAGCAGGCAAGATGAAAATTAATCAACGCCTTCGCCGGAAATCGAACCACATACCTCTGAAATACGCTCCCAGCGCGCAGACCACCATACCACGAAGGCATGCCAAGAAGGCGGGAGAAATATCTTATAACGTAACACGTGAAATGACGCAACATAACGTTAATAAGAGCTGTTAATAAATAATTATTTTATTAAAAATGACCTTTAATAGGATATAGAACGAAAACTTTGACTTAAGAAATTAAAAGGATCAAATTTGCTTCCAACTTGTAGCAGACTTGAGGCTTATCCTTTTAATCCACGTTAAGGCTTCCCACCAAGTAATTCAAAACTGGTTCGGGTAGTTTATGTTGAAGTATCTTTTGAATGCTAGATTTAGTAGTGATATTTTACTTTTAAAGGCTAGAAAATAACTAGTTCTGTAAATGGAATAGATTTACAGAACTTCACTCAAGAGGGCTTACCTTGAGATTGAGAGAGTGAAGTAGATCCTTTTTGTTATTAAAAGAACAAGGTTATTAAACAACATATTAAAAATCATTCCAAATTTTAAAACTTTTGCTAGCAGTGTCTAATTCAACTCTATATCAATATATCCAGTCTAGACAATGGTCTGGGTGTAGCTTTCCATGATATAAACAACAGTTTAAAATGTTCAGACTAGCTTGACAATTGTAATTTAGCAATCAGCTTTTAAAAAATTATGTTTAATTTTGCTGTTTTTGAGTATTTTAATTAATAAGTTAAGTCCTTTTAGAATACTTGACTTGAATTCTTGAAGATTCTTGACTGTCACTATGTAGACACATTAGGTTATTTCGAAGCAGGAGAGATTAAAAATGAGCAACGCCTTTGCCGGGACTCAATTCAGGGGCTTCTCGAATACGCACCGAGCGTGCTGACACACTACACTACGAAGCCATGCTAAGAAGGCTGGATAAATACTTTATATACTCCTCCTTTTAAAGGGCGACCGGGGATTAGGCGACCCATTCGCCAAATCCTGGTTGTGAAGAATCATCATCCACACCTTTTATAGTTCGGGAGCCAGTGTAGAAAAATTAGGTTATTTCGAAACAGGAGAGATGAAAATGAGCAACGCCTTCGCTGGGACTCGAACCAGGGGCCTCTTGAATACGCACAGAGAGTGCTGACACACTACACTGCGAAGGCATGCTAAGAAGGCCTGAGAAATACCTTATAACTATAAATACTCCTAATTATTTTAGTTTAGTCAAGTCAAAGAGTTTTTGATTTTATTGAGGTAACAAAGCAGATTCTATAGAAGCAGTTATACGGAAGCAGATTATTTAAAACTACAAATATATAACGTTTAACAGATATCAGTTTACACTTTCTGTAATATCGTAGCCAGTTTTTTCACATTTTGTATCGATATTATCATGCACTATTGTATTACATATCTAAAAATGAATCTTCATAACCTCATTTATTAACATACGAAATATCAACTATAGGTTGCAATTCTTCTGAGGTTTCTCTTAATTAATAGCCACGTTTTCGAAAGCATTTTTAACTTTGTTTTGCGATACCCACTGCTCAGGTATTAAGCATAATAATGCATAAACTTCATCGAGATATCGACTTAGTTTTTTCCTGAGAAGTTCTCTCCTGATTCATTTTCTCGAGGATCAGATTTGTTTATAATTTTTTGAACGACATTTTTTCTGTAATGACATTTAATTCTGTAATGACTTTTATTCTTCTCCAAAGACAGAGTGGTCGAAGCTTTTATGTAGGTAGACACCTATCATATTTCAAAAGAAATTTAGTAAAAATACTGCTTATCATCCATGAGTTCGTGTTTTTAAAGTAAGTTGGAGGTAAACTCTTAACTCTTAAAAATTCCAAGTCTTCTGATTTTGCTAGTATTTAATGGTTTCTCCTTAATTGTTGCATTTTTATTCCATTCGTTCAGTTTCTTAAAATTCGCTTCTCTTTCACTTTTATAATGAAGTTTCAACTTAAATATTTGCCTCTGCTTGTGCTGTAGTAAAATGCTGTCTTAGAATTTTATAGTCCATGCTACAAAATGCTATCCTGGAATTTTATAGTCCATACTACAAAATGTAGTCCATGCTACAAAATGCTGTCCTCGCATTTTAACGAATTTCCCAGCTTTTCAGGTCTCCTTTCTATTCAAAGACCGATAACGTGATATAACGCTAAGAAGTATTTCATGAAATGTACCGAGAATACTGCCAGCATAATATGTGAAGCTCAACGGGAGGATTTTTGAACACAGAACCTTATAAGATGTCACAATATAGTTCCTGCATTTCCATTTCCTATCAGCTAGAGTTGGAGGAGAAGCGCTCAGCAAATTTATCCATGGAATTGCTTTTGTTGGATTTAAATCAAGAAAATTCTGACTCTCTTTGCTTTGCAAACAGTCTCTGAAGTACTAGGTGGGTTAGAACTATTTTGGCCGAAACTTGGTCATTGGCTAAAACCGTTGCAACTGCTTTCTTGTAACTGCCAACGATTATCTTATCTAGCTTTTGAGTTACTACTTACGATTATAGTATTTTAAGATAAGCTTCTGATTTCACTATCAATTCATGACCTCAACAAATAAGCTTGCGGCTGATTTAGGTAAACTAGAACTTCATCAAGGGTCACAATGTGTTCTATTTACCTCCTGCTGAATATTTTTCATACAGATTTCTACAAATTGCTCTACCTTGAGTCATATGCCTCAAGAAACGCTAGTGAACATTATGTTTTTTCAGCTTTTTTAAGCTTTTAGTTTATTATTTTATTTATTCTTGCTACAGATGTACTTAAAGATTAATTTATTAATCTTTGTAATCGATTTCTGTGTCGGCGGATTTTCTCTTGTAACCGATGATTTAGCTTTAAAAATATTAGAAACAGTACTTTCTTCAGGTGTTTGAAGTCTTTTTTTGTATGATGTTTGATGGATGAAGTAGGATAATGTTTGACAGTTTTTCCTTTTCCGAATAACGATATTGCTTATTTTGCCCTTGAAAATTTTGATATCATCCATTTCACATACTTTTTGAATTATGGAATAGAAATATATGCCTTCCGTAAGAGCAAAAACATATCGTTCAATCCACAGTTTGTTTACCTGCGACGTTATAAAAGTAGAATAAATTTTAAAACTCAAATTTAAAACCTATTTCTCATTTGGAATAATAAGCTGTTGCCAGAAATTTTTATTTAAAAATAAATAGTTTAATACTAACATACAGGCCAATAATATTATTCGTTCCTTGCATATTTAAATGTACGATTAAGTCAACAAGGCATATTTTATCTGCAATCCATGTATCATAATAATAATAGCTCTTTAATGGCTTTATTTATTTATATATTTAGGTAGTTGTACCATAAACAAATTTTTATTTCGTTTTTTAAGTCAGAAAACTGTTTTAATACAGTTCCTCGACAGAACTACTTCGCCATGTTATGTTAAGTAATTTATCTTTGCACTCTAATTTTCTTCAGGCAATGCAACAAACAAACTTGATGAATCAGAGCTCGTCCGCGGATAAAGTTTACTATTTTAGTTTGTGTTTCAATAGCCTTATCTACCAGCAAACTTTCGGCTCCGTATTTGTAACAAATACATAAATTAAAATGCATTCGCGAGCCGCATAAAATTGTTTTGGGTTCTCATGAGACGCGCCGATCGGAGACTATTGGGAAGCATTAGCAAAAACAGTAGTTCTAGAGTTCCGTCTTGTTAGAAAACATTATCTGATAATTTAACGCTCTTTTGTATTAATTATGCACCACAGAATGCTCTCCACCCCATCCAGTGTTTGTGTGTCTATTTCCCATTATGCACGTAAATAACGATAAAAACTTCTCACCGACAACAATTCTTTCTTTTAGCTCCCACAATATTCGACAAGATGTTCAATCTTTTCAAGCCAGTTTTCAAACTAACATTGCTGGAGAAAGTTCAGTTTGTTGATAGAGGTATGATTTTCATTTGTATATCCACATGACGTTAATACTCTTTACACTTCAATTGTACTACTTAAGATTTAAGTTTCTACTTTTTATTTTATGCAAATATACATACATTTCATTTAAAACCTCATTTAACTCATTAAGGTACTTATTTCCAAATCTTATGTTTTCTATTTATTTTCATAAATACTGAATTTAATTGCTGCTGACTGTGTACAGTGTTTCATAAAGAATATACTGTTTAATAACTCTTTGGTAATTCATTTTTGACCCAGATTGCAGTTAAGTAAGACAAACATTTAAATTGCACAAAATTTTAAACTTTTCCAGAAACTGCACTTATTCTGCCATGAAATGTCTACAATAATTCCTGAAATGAAAAACATAGGGAAAAAGGACCAGTAACTAAACGCTTTACCCGGCAAATTTGAAATCCTTACTTAGCTTTGAAATTATATTCTTCCGAAATGGAGAGGGTATACATCCTCTGAGCAGCAGTTTCTTAAAAATTGCTTTTAAAACTGAATTTACTTCTTACATCATCGCAAAAACCCGTGCACTTTCTTTCGTGGTATATACGATCACATTTCTTGTTTTTTGATTACTTTCTAACGAAGAATTGATTCCAACGCTTTCTCACTCATTATTGATCAAGAGTGCGTTTTCTCGTATTAAATCATCTTGAATTTGAGACACATGTTACTTTAAAAAGGTTCCCGAAAGTCGTCATACAAAACTTACTTCCATACGCTGACAATGTCGACGGATTTTACCAAAACCACAAAAAATTGTAATCTATCCACCACTTTTTCTACGCTTACACAATAATTCCATTTTCCTTACATAACAAACAAAGATTACCCCGACCAGTATAGTTTCGTTATATACCGTCTCGAAAATCAAACTGTGAACAGTAAATAATTGCAGACATATATGCTATGTATATATATGTTATGTGATGTAGACATATAATGTTATGTGCTATAATGTAGTTATTAAATTAATTGATATGAATGTGTACGACATGTGTTTCAAAATGTTTCATATCAAAAGTATGTTAACATATATCTCACAAAAATGCGGATTATAAGTATTTATAGATTAAGAGTAACGTGCTCTTTTTAAATCCATTTATTCTTTTTTAATTCATCACCCACTGCTGAGCCATAAAAGGTTCTCTATTTAACCATAAGTAAAAATTTTATTACATATTATTAATTTTTATGATTTTATATAAATATAAAATAAAGTTATGGTTTATTTTCGGATCAATAGGTTAAATGCTTCATATTAAGCAAATAAAAATAATTGCTTTGCTTAATTAATTTTAACACGGTATAAATAGAAACAAAACTATCCTATTTAGTATTATAGTATAATAAATGTGATGCTGGAAGTTTTTAACTAAAAAATTAATTATGAACTTTTTAATTAACATTCAATTCATTTTACCTAATGAAAACCTTCTATGTCTTCAGCCACTGAAATGTTAAACATAAAACACCAAAATCATACCTTTGAAAATCATATCTTACTAAAATTATCGATATATTATTATTACTGATTTTTTTGCTTTTTTGTATATTTGGTTAGATAAACACATTTTTAAAATTAATTATATATAATTTAAATTATTCTGATTTAAACAGAACATACACCAGAATTGCTTCTAAAATATATTGATGAGGACGTCTTACCAGAATTTCTGGGAGGAAAAAGAAGGGACTCTAAAGGAGATCCAAAGTGCAGGGAATTTGTAAGTGTGAAATTTTTATTAATTATTTCTCTCTCCTCGCGATTTAAATAACTTGTATGTAGAAACTATCCTGTAGCGACCTATCTTAATGTATGCTTTCTTTGCTTACGTTTTGATGGTGCAATATCTGTTGTTGCGAGTGAGAAATGCCGTAATTTCTATCGACAAGTATTGAATCTAGGACTAAATTCCTATGTCTTGCTTCAGCGACTAGTCCAAAATCATTCACCAGCTCCTGCGCTAAATCCGAATGTCGAACTAAATTCCTAGGTATGTGCTTCAACGACTAGATAAATGCATTCACCAGCTCCGGCGTTAAATTCGAATCGTGGAATGAATACCTAGGTGTGTGCTACATCGACTAATCTAAAATCCTTCACCAGCTCCTGCGCTAAATCCGAATCGCGGACTAAATGTCTAGGTGTGTGCTTCAACGACTAGTCTAAACGCATTCAGCAGCTCTGGCGCTAAATTCGAAACGCGGACTGAATTCCTAGGTGTTTGCTTTAACGAAGAGTCTAAAAGCATTCACCAGCTTCGGCGCCAAATTTGAATCGCGTGCTAAATTCTTAGGTGGGGGCTTCAACGACTAGTCTAAAAGCATTCACCAGGAACGGCCGTAAATTTGCTTTCTTCTGAGCAAGATCCCGCTGTCGACACTAATCTATGGCAATCCCGCTTTACAGGGAATCATCCATTTGCAGCGATACGCCGAGAAGGCTTTTACAATTATTACACAATAGGTTGGTATAATATTAAAGTTATGTAATAAATTATAGGCTTTTTAAGTTATAAATGTATTTAAATTTGTTAAGATGATACATCTATTAAATAAAGCTACTTTATTAACCTTTTTCTAATTTATTACTATTAAAACACAACTTTCCCATATGGGTCCAGGCACCTCTTCTTATGTTGCTACTGTCATTTGAAATCAGAAATGTGTTTTTTGCAAATACACATTTTTAAAGTTATTTAAATTAATCACATCATCGCAAAAACCCGTGCACTTTCTTTCGTGGTATATACGATCACATTTCTTGTTTTTTGATTACTTTCTAACGAAGAATTGATTCCAACGCTTTCTCACTCATTATTGATCAAGAGTGCGTTTTCTCGTATTAAATCATCTTGAATTTGAGACACAAGTTATTACATGATTAATTTTAGATTAAAATTATACAACTTTTAAGTTACAAAAGCAAGCACGTTATATTAGCGTACAGCTAGCTAGATGAAAAAGAGCTTAAATATTATTAACACGTTTATTGGTCAAAGTATTAGTGAACTATAAATGGCAATCTTCACTGTTATTAATCTTAATCGTAATGCTCAAAATTAATTCAATGTAATGCATTCATTTAGTAATTAGTAATATGTTATTCATAAGAAGAAGAGGCAAAGAATTGTGAGCACTGAAGTGATTGTCAGCATTCAATTTGTTTAATGTACCCTCTTGATCATATCAACTACTTTATGGACATAAACTGAGTATAAAAATCTCAGAAAACCTTTTCGAAGTAACACAGTCTGGTAATTTGGCTATACTTGAGCATCGTAACAAAGCAAACATCATATAATCTAATGATTTGCTTAGGGTAAGGTTGTGTATGTCGTAACCCATCCTTTGCAGTTTAGGCACTGAATCATATTTTTTTTCGCTTTCTTCCTCACAGATATTACATGAAGACGAACACGATGTGCAAAATTATGATTGACTAGGGGGTAAACTCGTTTTCCCGGGAAAACTCGTAAACTAAGGGGTAAATTCGTAAACTCTTTCTTTGAGTTTTCAGAGAGAGAGTTGAGTCTAACTTCCTCTTTTCGACTCCTAAAGCCGCTGAGAACGCGGCTTGTGCATGTTGGTTCTCAAATAGAAGATTTCTGAAGCTCCGGACTTCTGTTGCTGTTGCAAGATCATTCCTCTTGCTACTTGTCACTAGATCATTCCTGTAATAAGATCCTTATCACCAATGAAAGATTTCTGAGTTCTGAACAGAATAGTATAATCTTCGGCTGCAGTGGGACAAACGTTTCAACTGTAGAGATACTAGTCATAGGAGCTTCTGTCTCATTAAATCATCACCAGTAATTACGCATATTCTATTCAAGAAAGTCACGTGAATTTGCTGGAAGGTTACTTAGGAAACTGAGAATAATCTATTGGACCAGTAACCTCTCGACTTAAGAATTCTTTGCAATAAAACCTAATTTGATATTTTCAAAGCTAACTTAAGATCTTTTCTCGTAAATAAGCATATCAGTCTTTCTCTTTTTATTACAATATTAAATATAATTTTTCCCACCAAGCCAACTTCGGCTTGGCCACTACTAAAGCCAGAAGTGGTGGTCACTTTATAATGGAGGTACCTGGGCTACGTCTTCTATGCAGGAACGAACAGTTACAAACATGCCTTCCCCGGGATTCGAACCCGGGCAATTTGATATCGCAGTTGGATACCAAAGGGCCCTCAGTCGGATATCGAAGGTCTCGGTCCGTCGGATATCGAAGGTCCCGTTCCGTCGGATACCTTTTACAGTATTGAGTTCCCGCTCACACAGGGATTCAAGGCAATGAAGCCGCTGACTTACTGGCCAAGCAGGCAGCCAACTGCATGGATATATTAGAAAGACCAACTAAACTTCCTTGGTCTCATATTATTAAGCGAACAACTTTGAGAAGTCTGCTACAAAATTGGCAAAGTAGATGGACAGAGGCAGAAGTAGGAAGAAGGACATTTCGCTTACTGCCAAAAGTTAACATGGAAATAAAGACCCACTGTGTTAGCCTAACACAGTTCTTGACAGGTCATGGACCATTCCCAGTATACCTGAACAGATTCAGACTTAGGGATACTCCTTTCTGCGAATGCGAAGAGGAAGGCGATACGGACCATTATTACTTCCATTGTGTACATACAAGAATCCTGGCACTTGAAGAAAACCAGCCAACGGACTGTGCCTGGGCAATGTGGACAACTAACGCATTCAAAAACAGAATAGCCCTTGATAAAATAGAGAAAATCTCAAGACGCTGCCTAAGCAGAAACAACCGTGGATAATATTATAATGTTTCAAATGTTCAAAACTTAAAGCAGATAACTAGAATAACGCTTAGTGCCTTGCAGTTATCAATATGTAAAAACTGTTATTAATATACAATATTCAACCTTGTTACTCTGGAGGCTTCCCCGCCGTTATGGTATATAATTTCATTTGGTTCATGTCCGTGGTCGGAAGCCATCATAGCGGTGCACTCACTCACTCACTCACCTTTTACAGTATAAGTTCAAAATCACGACCCCAAGGAAAGCACTCATTACCCAGCTATATTCTTCTTGTAACAATTAGCATCATTTTAAGGCGGCATTTTGCTAGCTTTTCACACGAATGTTGATGTTTTTGACTGACATCCCACTACTTATTACTGCACCTGACTCTCGCTACCTGCAACGGAGCAATGATAGCTATTTTCTAGAACTTAGAAATAGCGTATGTTCATATTATATAACAGAAAGTTCCAATTAATTTACTACCGATTTTTATATTGCTTCTTTAACATTTTATGTTGGAGAAAAATATTTTATAATAAATTCATGACTTCTCTGAGTTCGAGTTTTAACTACAAATAAATTACTAGATTATATTCAATTTTTGACTTTTGACTAAAAGGGGACTCATACGCCTTAAAACCGATTACGATTTTCGAATATGTGGCAAGAATTGAGATTACTTATTTATTTTAAAAGCAATTACTTCCACCTTTTCACAACTGACTACATAGTATAGCTGCTTTCTGAAATAGTAATCAGAGAGTTTGTGTTGCCACGATATTTTCATAATTTAATCCGCTTTGTGACAAAATTTTTTGTCATGTTTCCACCTTGCGCGCACAGTTTAAAACATTCTGTTGCATAATTTAATTTCATATTTAATACATAACTTTTAAACATTTGGAAATTACTGTGAACCAAAAATTCTAAGAATTTCATGTTAAATTTTAATTTTATTTGGAGTTGAGTTTATAAAATGTATTTTATTAAAAAAATCTGTAATGTTTTCGTGCATAAATTTTTTAATATTAAATTTTTGGTTCAGTCAGAAAATAATGCCCATATAAAGAATTCCATCAAATTTCAAATATGTACCATTAGCCATTTTTAAAATATGCGCTCAAGGTGGAAACATGATGAAGCATTTTGTCACAAAGCGGATTAAATTACAAAAATATTTGTGGTAACACAAACTTTCTGATTACTATTTTCTAAAGCAACAATATTATGTAGTCAGCTGTAAAAAGTTCGAAATAATTGCTTTTAAAATAAATAAAATATCCCAATTCTTGCAACAGTCACATATTCGGAGATCAAAAGGGGTTTAAGGTGTATGAGCCCCCTTAAACACTTTTACTGAACTTTACTGAATTCTGTAATTTATTATATCAGTTTGTAGAGGACTAAAACAGAGTCATTTTTGAAACGGTAAATTATTCTCATATTATAAAAATAAATATAAAAATGTAGGCAAACGCATTTAATTAATTTGCCTATTTGTATATTAATTCTGCTTTCCAAGTAATGAATGCTGTCTTAGTTAAATATTCGTGTTCCTAACGTTTTAATTCATCTTCTTAACTGTGTATCATATGTTACTAACTGATATTGTAAAAGCAATGAGATCATAGTTTCTGCTCTTGATTTCTTTTCAGTTACGTTTTGGTGGCAAAATTCCAGAAGAATATTATTTATGCCATCGTCCTCTTCTCCTGCCTTCGGACCCTGGCGCGTCAAGTGTAGTGATTGGTGCTAGGTCATGCTTTAATTATTCTGTGATAGTGCGAAAGCCTGGATCAAGGCTGAGTATCGAATTCCGAACAGAAGGAGCAAGCATTTATCTCATAATGCTATATAGGAAATTTGGACTGGATCCCAAGTAATTTATTTTTATAAATTAAAAAAATTATAATGTAATAGTAAAGCATTTACTTTCCTAAGCCTCAACAATTTTAAGTTGGGTTAATGGAGAAGCAAGAAGAATCAACGCAATGTAGATGGCGCCAGTAGCTTGACTTCTTTCCTGCCATTCTTATCTTATCACCATACTCTACCTTTTTCATTTGCACCTAGGCAGCTGAAGAAGATGGTTCTGTATTTAAACCATTGAAACTACTTCTATAAAATTTACAAACATTACGCTGATTCTTTATTTAACTTCTCCAATAAGCAATAATTTTATTTCGCTATTTTGCTATTTAAATATGGCGTTTTATATTTTAGGTATTATTTACAAAAATAAGACGCGAAGGCATGAGGAAAGGAGGAGAGAAATACCATTTATACCTCGCCTTTTAGAGGGAGACTGAGAATTAAGGGATCCATTCGCCAAATACTAGGTGTGACGAATTATCGCCCACCACCTTTTAGTTCGGTTGCCACTAGTAGAGCCATAATTTTTTTTAAAGCAAATGACGTGAAAAATGTGCCCTCTCCAGGACTCGAAACTTGGACCTTTCGAATACGCGTCGAGTGTGCTTCCAATTACACTACGAGCGCATGCGGAAAGGAGGGAGAAAATATCTTATAAATTTATTAAAAATATGTTGCAGTTAATGTTATGCATTTGAATCATTAAATATTAAGTTTTACATTCGGCAACATTAGCAACTTTTGTCTACATTAGCAACTTTACATTAGGTTTACATTAGCAACATTTGTCTAAACCGAAGAAATTGTGAGCACTAGAGGGATCTGGAAATAGGGGTATTGATGGAAAACTGATTGTGCTGATTCGGTAGCTTTCGACCATATCGTTATATTCATCATAAAAAAAAATAAAGGAAAGGGCTTCAGATTAAAGAATTAACTTTTAGTGGAAAGATCTTCGACGTTGCTACAGACACCTCACATTTTGCACGAATGTCATGCCGAGTTGAATTCTTTTAAGCCCTCAACGAGAAAAGCATTGTCGGTATCTGATGAAAAGTAACTGAACTGCAAATGTTTTGCAGAATCACTTATTTAACAAACGTTTATATCATTTCATCGATATTAACTATAAAATATCGTAAGTAAATTGTAAAACATATCTCAATAAATTATATCTTTTATATGTATCTCGGATTTTAATGGCAGAAGAGTCCAGATATAAACTTTTATTATTTTAATTGGTTCTATGCTAACAGTTTACTCTTTATAGGTTATTACGAAAGGCTTTCTCCTTTTGTGAAAATTTCAATTTTGATATTTGCATCATACAGAAGCCCTTTACAACTGTTTGTCTAATTTCCTTTTTTAATCATTTCAAACAAAGTGTGAACCGAATTGACACGTGAATTTCATATATTTTAATTACATTATTTACTTACAGATGAACATTTGCATCAATTATAGGCCTGCATACAAAGTAATACATAAAAAAACACTTACACTTGTAGAGACATTAGGTACTTTTTTGGAAGCAGGCAAGATGAAAAATTAGCTATGCCTTCGCCGGGAATAAAACCGCGGACCTCTGGAACACGCGCCCAGCGTACAGACCACCACACCACGAAGGCATGCCAAGAAGGTTAGAGAAATACCTTATATACTCCCTCTTTCAACCCTTTGCGGCACAGTGTGTCCGGTCTTGACACATCTAAAAATTTCCTTCTGTACGCACAGAAAAACTTAATGAAAAAGAATTTATAGGTTATTATGGGTTAATCTGAATCTTCTTTATATTAGTTTTAAATTTTTGCCTTGAAATCTTGCCTAAAATCAAACGACGAACCCTAGGTGTGCCCAGACCAGGCTCACCGATAATCTAGGACAATTGAGAGTCTGTATTTTTTGTTTCTCTTCATTTCATTGGTCAGTTCATTGACAAAAATGCCCGTTTGAGCACTCTTTTCAAAGCTGTATTCAATCAGTGTTCCACTTTGGGCTTACCCACAGAATTAAAGCGATAAGTGCTATCTTCACAAAATTTTACTTGTGTACTCCTCTAGGCCTAATTAGACTACCTACCTTTTTTCTTTTTTTTAATCAAAATTCCAACTTTAAAAGGTAGCGTGCCGGAAAGGGTTAAAGGGCAAGTGGGGTTTTTAGGGGACCGAATCGCCAAATCCTGGGTGTGGGGAAACATCATCCAACACCCTTTTAGCTCAGCATCATGTTCATGTTCGGAGTCATGCATGAGAACATGCGTAGAGTCTCACTTTCTTGGAAAGCATCCACTAAGTGAAGAGTGGAATGGGGCTAAGCGACTTTATTTTTTATTTATTTTATATTGGCTAAGCCAAACAAATAGAGATAACAATTCTATTTGTTATCTCTATTTGGACGTAACAAATAGAGATTCTCTATTATTGGAATAGATTCTCTACTCCAATAAATTCTATTATTGGACGTAAACAAATAGAGATTTACGTCCAGTAAACAAATAGAGAACGTAAGAATGGGTCTTTTTTTAAGAATTCAAATATGATGAACAGAAGGCATTCCTGGTGCTTACAAAACCATCCAGCATTTATAGCGCAACTCGAAAGATAAAATTTCAAGTTAATTCTAAGTCTTAAATTAGCAAAAAGCTACACAGAAATAATTACCGCACAAGTGGCTCATACTTGTACCGGTGTGACAAGTACTATTAGCAAGAATAAAGCAACGCCGAAGACAGACTGCTACAATAGAATATGAACTAGTAACGTAGCCTTCAGCGAACGGAACACGCTCTGCCTAAGCAATCTAAAACCTCTCTTTAAATATCATATCTTTCTACCTCATTTGAATACGCGTGAACTAAAACTAGCATTCTGGCAGGAAAAGGGGAAGTGACAATAAAACTGCGTAGCATAAAATAACTGGTTAGATAAAATAAATACACATCTTACACATTAAAGGATAATTCTTTACAGAAGGAAATCTTTTTTTTTTTTTTTTTTTTTTTTGTCAGATATTCGTAATATAACCTCAAGAAGGGTTATCGAAGACACATGTTTTGAACAAAACCTAGAATCCAGCACCTCATGGCAAACATCCTGTAAAATGGATACTACAGAGATGGCATTTTTTTACTGCAATAAAACAGTGAAGGGATGCAGCGAGTCCAAAAGCTGTTCTGCTATCCAGTGTCGCAAAGAAACCTTACATTCTTTTTCCTTCAGTTATTGCTTGTATCTAAACAAGCGCATTTTGTTCGCAATAGAATTATCATCCCTAAAATATGGAAGCGGATTCTATATTTTATGGATGATAATTCTATTGCGAACAAAATGCGCTTGTTTTAGATACACTTGAAATGATTTTTAGCTAATATAAGAGTGCTATATATTATTTTTAGCTATATAAGTGAAAGGATTTTTAACTAATATAAGAATAATGACAAATGTTTTAGATTCAGAGTTGTACACTAGTCAAAAAGTGCTTAACTTGATAATTTTGATTCCGTGTCTATCCCACTTGATCAAAAGATATATGATTTTCCGCTTATTCCATTATTGAATCGATTGCTTATTGATAACAACTATATCTTATCGTTTAACTAGTTACTGAACCGGTGCATTCCTGTAATAAAATAAAATAATTTGACCTATTTCTTACATGAAAGCAAAATCTGACTAAATAAGAGTTTGTCTCTAAATACGAGCATTGACTCGAGTAACGAGCAATGAGCCAGACTGTTGTCATGCGTAGCGCCATTTGGCCTATCCGGCTCGACTCGGAGAATCCCCTCGCCAGATCACTCAGCGTTCTTTGATTTAAGTGTTTGTGCGCTTGTGAGTCAATTGTTTATTAGATTTAACGTGAAAATAATTATTTCATGATGCCTCCCAAGAAGATTGTTGCCTCACATAGTGCTGTAAAGAAAAATAAGGAAGCCATGGCCGTTGAAATTAAGAAAGAAAGCATAGATAAACATAAGGCGGAGTGTAAAAGTAACGGAATTGTCGAAGACTTACATTCGACAACGAATATCCATGACCATGAAGAAGCAAGAAAAGAAATTAAGAAACTTGATGTAGCCAAAGGAGTTACCGTTGCTTCCAAAACTCCTAGATGTTGAGAAGCTGTTGTTGGTGTGGATTAACGAAAAGCCGTTAAAAGGGCGGTGTCGGAATCTATCATTTGTCGGAAGCTATCATAAACTACGGTTATATTATTTATGTGTTATTTATTAGAAAAATTGATTTTTATGTTGATATTTTTGGGGGTGCGGAACGGGTTAACTGGATTTCCATTATTTTCAATGGAAGTTTGTTTCTAGATATGAGAAATTTGCTATAGGAGCTCAATGCTGGAACGAATTAAATTCGTTTCTCGAAACTCCACTGTACACATTTCACTGCCGTTAATGGACCATCAAAGTTTAAAAGCAATAATTTAAACATTTTTTTATCTTCAATCACTTTTTCTTTCACAGTCTGAAACTGTCTGGCTCATTGAAAATTCCTTTGAAGCTTAGGTAATAAAACAAATATATAAATAAAAACTACGAAGAATTAAAGAAAATAATTTTAAATTAAAAAATAAAAACTAAAACTAAACAATAAACATAAAAAATATAAGTAAATAAACAAATACAAACACAAAGAATAAAATAAAATAATATAAAAAAAATTTAAGTACCAGAGTAGGATAATGCATATTTAAAAATTCCATCTTTTTTTTAATCAGATTTTCTAAATAAAGGAGTAGAAAATAATATGGCTCAGAGCATATATTTATCAGATCAAAAAAGATATTTTGATCAGATTTTCTAAATAAAGGAGTAAAACATAATATGCTTCTTTTCCAATAGAATGCTTAATTTTCAAGAAGTTTCTTTTCTTAACCATTAGTGTATTGCTAGCTGATATATTTTAGGAGAAATCTCAGATGATAAAATGTTGTCCTTTTAGAATAACAGGGAATTATATGACAAGCTGGATTTCAAACTTATTTAATATTTTTTTTTCCTCTCAGTGTCCCCGACATCCCAGCAAGTGATGAATATTTAGATGAGAAAGCCGAAAAGTCTAATGTCCAGTTAGTTAGTCCAGGATTGAGAGTACAGTCTCATTTTGCACCGGTTGAAGATAAATGCACGGCAGCGTGGCCGGGTATTTGTAAGTGATTTATTTTATTCTAATAGGGTTTAAAATTATTCCTCACTAAATTGTAGTTAGAAGTTGCAACAAGATCAGATCACAGATTATGTAACCATATTTGCATAAATCGATGCGTAAAACATCGATTATTATAATTGTTATGGAATAATTTTAAAACGTTTTCAGTTTACATATTAAAAAATATCATTGCATATGCTTTGTTTTTAAATTTTATATACACAAAGCAGACTCTCCATACTCTCCAATTGTTTATAATTCACACAAATCTGCAATTTGGTTTCGATTTTGCTGAAATCTGGCACACGTGACATTGAAAACAAGAGGAAAATCAAGGCTTGACTGTTTGCAGTTGACTTAACTGTTAAATAAATAGAAAACAAATGTCTGATGTGGACACTACATGATTTCCTGGTACGACCTGTTAAATTAGACACATTTTTTGCTTCATTTAAACATATTTTCTCGAATTTCATTTACAGTTAAAATTAGAGTTTCTAAACGAAACGAGCGCCAGCTAATTTTTGATATTTTTTAACTAGTTATTGATAGTTTATTTATACTTATTATAGTTAAACATTTAATGTGCCAACTTGTTTGTGACCGCAACATGTTTTCTGAAATAAAAAATGAAGATTTAATCTGCCTTCGCCTCCAATTTCCTATTCGCTATGGATCAACACTTCTGCGCCATCAAAATTCCTGCTGGTTATTACTTCTGAGTTTGTTTTTATCACATGTATATAGCTGTATTAATTTTTCATAAGTGTAAGACGCTTCACACGCGAATATCACATGTATATGTTACGGTAAAACACCGAAATCTGGAGAATGTCGACTTTCACCGGTTAATGTTAACATTCGCATAGTTGCTTGGTGTATGTCCGAAATATTTTCCAAATACTCTTATTTCTGACTTACACCGGTAAATGTCACATTCACCATCTACTAATGGTGAATGTTGAACACATAAGAATATTATATTTTCTCCCGTAATTCGGTCACGAAAAAAACGCACTTAAATTAAAATTAAGAACTTAAGAATATAAGAACTTAAAACACACTGTACATTCAAAATGAGAAAGGAAAATAATAGAAGTTTAAAACTTACTAAATTACGTGATTCAAATCTTATTTATTGCAAAAACTTAAACTCTTATGACACTTTCAATTGCACAAGAGGCCCTTGCTTTTACAACAGCATATATTTGTGGAACACTTCCTTTTGCAATGACAGCGTGTACATATACTCCTCTCTTTTCAACCTACACCAGAGCACATCCGTGAGTGTCGACATACACCGGTGAGGGTCCGAATGTACAAGAATGTAATGCAATATTCGATCTTTCACCGACGTATTTGGTGAATGTTGACATTCTCCGGTTGAAAGTCGACATTCTCCAATTTCGGTCTTTCACGGTAACATATATATTTTGTAATTATGTAAAAATTATCTTTTAAAGAAAATAATTTCTATTTTTTAACTCTTCTTACAAAGAATTTTTTTTTAAGTATGTCAGCAATAAACTGTAAAAACGCTTTTTTTCTTTCAGATATCTTCAAATTCGATAACACAAGCAGCTGGTTTATGTCGAAACGACTCATATACCGCATCAGAGTGCTAGAACCAGAATTATGAATCTGTTAATATACATCATATATTTCGTAAATTCCCAATTTCATTTTCTACCTGAAGAAGACTAAAAATCATTCTTTTTGGCGTCATCATCATAACAAAAATCCATGTTCCCGGAATGCAAATAGAAATTTTCTGTTATACAGGAAGGAGTGCCAAGTTTTAGTTCTCTTATCACATCCGTGGTTCATGAAAGATATGTTTAAGTATCTCTAACTTTTGAAACCATTATGAATAAAATGTAGAATTTTCTTCGTGCAATTTGTATTCTTTTCTGGTATTCTGATAACGATCGCAAGCTGTAATTTTTCCGCTTCATTTCAAACTTTAAAATACATTATTCACTTTTGATTTAAGAAGACATTTATAAACTTTACATTTTTCGCAATTGTTAATTTTTTATAAAATTTGAATTATTATAATAAAAGCATGATATAACTAGATGAAAGAACCGAAATTTGATTTTCTATATCAATCAGGATTATCTCATTTGAGGGATTATATAATTATAAACTTTAAATTTCGTCAGTTTTATTCTCTCTAGAAATTTTCTCTTTGTTGTGATTTAATATAAAGTATTCTATTACCTTTTGAATTGAGTTGATATAGATTAGGAAGAGGGAAGGATGATAAAAAATATTGAAATACATCATTCATGAAATCAGCGCGAAGAATAGCTACAATTCATGCAAGCAATTCATGTATATTACTAAGGAAACATTATAAATATTTCTTGTTATTTTATAATTATAAAATATTTATAATTTTATAAATTAAATTTATAATTATAAAAATATGATATTTTATAAATTAGATATTAATTATCAATACTAATTAAACTAACTATTAATTATTAAATGAATTATAAATTATTATGAAATTATAATTATTTTATAATTTTATAGTTAATTACTATTGACGATGTTTTGTTAGTTCATGCAATAATAATTCTACACTATTGTTTATTCTGTACTATTTCATGGAACTTGAGCCGCAGGCCAGTTTATTAAGACAAATACTATTACTAAAAATATAGAAGATAATAATAATGAAATGCAGAGATGCATATTACTTTTAAAATGAAACCAAAACTCACTATAAATTGCAAATGCTGTCAACATCACACTTCAGAAGGTCGATCGTCTTACTAAATGATGAGGAACTTTTATCCACTTAAATAACTCATGATTAGTAATCAATAAAAAATTATTCATAATCTTTTCAATTATGTTATAGATAAATGATGCGATTGCACATTTGCATACCATTTCCGTATTAGCAAAAGTCCATAAATCCCCTAAACGAAAATTTTATTTGAATTACATTAATTCAGAATTAAATTAGATTCAATTTAAATTCCAAGAAAGAGATGCAACTAAAGTATAAAGTGGAGCGATTAGCAAATACAATAATTTGTAGGTCCTTCAAAACATTTTACACTTTCATACAGTTAAACTGTGCTTACATTCTCAACGTATTCTCTGACGTAGAATTTATATAAAACTAAATACATAACATAGTATTTCTGTACATAAAATTAAATATATTAGGGCTCAAAATTCCTTTTAAATCCACATGGAAAAGCAGGAATACATTTGGGAAATATGTTCCTTGAGAATTTCCCATCACATTTCGATCGGATTTAAATGCAACTGAATTTCTTAGTCAGTCTGGCATAATGATTTTATTGTTCAGAATGCACGTTTTGACAGATTTCGAATTGTGGCATGGAACCAAGTCATGCTGAATTGTTCTGGAAAAGTTTTCAGGAATGACACAATCCTACTTTTAAATAGTTCTATTAAATTCCATGAATTCATCATTTTGTCAATATGAACTAGACTTTGAGTGGCATCTGTAGCGAAAGGAATCCCAAACTTCTATTTTTGAAAGCATTTAGTGCTTTTTTTGGATATGTTGAGGCCTTATCGATTACCTTTGCTTTGTCAAACAACATTAGATGTGTAATCATGAGCAAATAAATGAGTCTCATCGCTGAAAATACTTTTAACTCGTCATTTATGGTTCATGATTTACATTTCGTCGTCTACAAAAATGTTCCTGCTTTATTTCACATATCAAAAATTCGTTTTTAGTTGGCTTTTTCTCGCCTTTCGACAAGGGGTGAGAAATCTACGCCTGACATTTGGAGGGTGAATATCTATACCAATAAAACAACAGATCTCTTTGAATGTCCTTACAGGTTTTTGTTAGATTAGTAATGCTATTTCTAAGGGTAGGAATCAAACGTTTTTTTCTGTTTCCTTCCACATTTTTCCTTTCTTTTTTCCAGAAGAGAATCTGGTTTCATTGTGATTACACAGAATTCGAAAAATGTAAAAGTTTTCAGGAGCAATTCCGGAAGCAACATTTCTTAGAGTCACGGATGTGTGACTGTAAAGTGCGATAATCTTTGCTCTCTTGCTATGCAATATATTTATTTTTAGTGCATTAAAATGAACGAATGCAAAACGTATTTAAAACGTATGGGAAAGTAATTTCCTCTTCTTGAAGAAATAAGTTTTAAAATGGGGCAATAATCCTAATTCATTATATAAAACATCTTAAGTAATTGACAACATTAAGACAAAACTGATCTGACATCAATAGAATCGACATGTGTATAGAAAGTTGCTCCATTCCGGGTGATTGGCGTTCAACCTGGGTCTGTTTCCGTAATGGGGCGAAAGAAATCTATTTAATAACAAGTGGGAGAGAATATACGATTTTCCTAGTGGCACCTTCGAAAACTCTCCTTTCCAAATGACTGAATTTCTTACTAAGATAATGCACAGGATTATCTTCATCATTGGTAAGTTTGGTACAACCCCTAAAGCACATCCGATGCCTTGCATTGCACTAAAAGCTATTTTTCAGAATTAGACGCTTGGCGTACTGGTTGACTCAAAAGAATTAGACGCTTGACTCAAAAGAATTAGACGCTTGACTCAAAAGAATTAGACGCTTGGCGTACTGGTTGACTAAAAGCTATTTTTCAGAATTAGACGCTTGGCGTACTGGTTGACTCAAAAGAATTAGACGCTTGACTCAAAAGAATTAGACGCTTGACTCAAAAGAATTAGACGCTTGGCGTACTAGTTGACTAAAAGCTATTTTTCAGAATTAGACGCTTGGCGTACTGGTTGACTCAAAAGAATTAGACGCTCGGCGTACTGGTTGACTAAAAGCTATTTTTCAGAATTAGACGCTTGGCGTACTGGTTGACTAAAAGCTATTTTTCAGAATTAGACGCTTGGCGTACTGGTTGACTCAAAAGAATTAGACGCTTGGCGTACTGGTTGACTAAAAGCTATTTTTCAGAATTAGACGTTTGGCGTACTGGTAACTTCCCTTTTAATTCTGGGAATGCTTTTTCATAAATTTTGTCTTAGAAAATCTCTCTCATCTTCGCATTTCCGTGCAATATGTTTGCTAGGGGAATGTTTATCATGAAGTAATCATTTACATAGTGGCTGTAGCAGCTACTGAGGCCCCAAAATGGCTTCGTCTTTCTTGTGGGTCTCGGAAAAATTCTAGATGCAACTCACTTTTGCATTGAATTTGGATCTAATTCTACCCACAACTCTGTATCCAAGATACAGCACACTGTCTTGAGCGAACTTACATTTAAAGGGTTTGGTTTTTAGTTGAGCCTGATGGGATTTTTCTGAAACCTCTATACGTGCTTCTCCCATTTTTAAGAACATTGTCAAGATGAGAGTCAGTTTGACGTTCGTATCCCTTCACTAATCCGAGCAACACTTTAAGTAAGAAGACTTAACAACAGGTACACTTTAAGTATTTTTATCAGAATGTGAAATGTATATTATTTTTACTAATAGTCATTTTAATTTGTTAGCCTTTTTTGTCATCTCTCGCTTCTATCTCATTTCCCTCCAGGATGGCTGAGTTAGGGTGAACCAGAGTTTATTTAAATTGAAGTATCGAAAAGATTAGTAATAGCGTGTTTCACTATTGAGTGCGCAAGATGTGGTTTTTACCAGCTATTTTAATACTGAATCTCGGCTTCGCATTCTTGCCGGCGAAGTTTAATATCACGCTGGTGTAGGTTTATGAGTCAGCCTGTTAGGTTAAATTAATTTGTGTAGTCTTGATCTAGAAGCTCATCTTTAAATTGAATTTCTTTTACCATTATCTTTAGTTTTATCGCCCACAAGTGGATGGTGGATTCGTAAGTACAATGACTCTGCCGTCTGTAAATAACTGAGTTCATTAAAAGGGGTCTTTTACACCCATCCTCTGTTAGATTCATCTTCTAATCTTAGCGATAAGTCGTTAAGAGACTTTAAGGTAGGTCTAGCGCAATTTGTGCTAGTCAAGTAATTAATGGATCATACGGACACGCTTCAATTGTTCGTCCCTTCATAGGAGGTAACGATGGCTGCCTATTTGGTGCCTCCACAATGAAATGGCGACACCACTTCTGGCCTCAGTAGTGGCCAATGCCGTCATGGGCAAGTGCCCGCCATTGGGAGGGGGGAAGACATGCTTCAAAATTTCTAGAATGTTATCCTCTCCTTTCGGATAGCTGTATAAAACCTTGAAAGCATAGAGTCTGTTATTTAATAAAATTTTATCGAAGTGAACGTGTAAAGATAAGTTTTACTAACGTTTATTTTATTTTAAATCTTTACTATCACTTCTTGTTTTCTACTTCCGGCCAGAATTATAAGCGTTAATGTATTTATGCAAAGTTTGTCTGGCGAACGCCAAGTATTTAAGATTGTGGCTTTTGCCAAGCGAGAGAGAGGAAGCAGTTAGTCGAAGCAGGCCGCTTACCTTAGAAGTTTTACTCAGGTTTGCTGGTTGCCTTCCAGGCCAGAGGTTTAATCCTCGTTGATAACTTTAAACGTATTGTAGTGTTAACTCAGTTCTCTGTACTACATACGGCTTCCTGTTAATATAAGGCCAATCTTCCACGTTTATTATTCCAAAGTTAAGTTAGAGTTTAGTTATATTTTTTATATTCTTACGTTTAGACCACAAGTGGTGGGTCATTGTATTCCGAAGTACGGAAATTATTGTAAATAGAGAAAAATAAAGGGTTTTGTATACCCTTCTTGTGTAGCCTGTCTACTTCCCACAGTTTTGAACATAGCTTTAGTAAGCTCTCTGTTCCGAGTCAGGTCCTTGCATGTTCCCGAAGAAGGTTAGACGGAACATTCAACCTGATAAACGAAGCTAATTCATAAATGTTTAAAATTCTTTGTAATGGATTTCCAAAACATCTAGATACTATC